CTTTAAGGTCAGATAATGATCATGGGAAATGAATAAAAGCTATACGTTAGCCGACAATGCAGGGAGGAGGAGACCCCCCTTCAAATCATTGATGTTCATGTACTTTGTATGAAAGCTTAAATTATCAGAAATACATTAGTCAGAACAGATGCCCGCCTCTTGGCAAGAGATAAAGCAGCTTTCTTTCAGGGCAATCAGAAGCATACATTTTACTTTTACTTTAATTTCATGGCTCTTTTCAGCAGCCGGTCACATGTTCAGATGTGTGAGTCTCCTGTTATAGTGAACCTACTTCCACCATGCTCGTGGGATGATATCATAGTTCAGAGGGGCAGACAAGAAGAAACACTTTTATGCCTGATTACATCTCCTCTTGTGGCCTTTCCTCATATCAGAGAGTAAGATCTCTGTTGCTGCCTGAATGAACAACACGTAGTCCTTCTAAAGTCACTGAAGTCAGTACTCGAATGGGCCTTACCTTAAAGGTTTTATATGCGATTTTTCACACTTGAATATAATAGAAATCCAGTATATCCTCTGAAAATAACTGTGAGTCATGACTGTCTACAATGGGTGTAACACCCGAGTCCCACTGTCTGTGATGTTTTCCGAGTCCTATCTTCAGTTTGTTTACATCGCCAGGACAGCCAACTCCTCCCCTCGCGTATAAAAGTTGTTTAATTGAGGGACTAGAGAAAAGAAGAATAACATACTGTACTCACTGCTTAACTGTGTTTCTAGATCACGCTCATTTGTAAATTTACATGCAGTGTGAAGATACGAGCATAATAAAGATCGCTAGCATTAGCATGCTAACACAACAATGCACCACGATTTGTTTTGGTTTCATGCTGGTGCTCAAGGGCGACATCTGCTGGATCCAAAAATCGCATATAAAGCCTTTAAAACACGAGTATGTCAAAATCATGAAGAGATGGGAATACGATGCACACTACATTTGTCTGCCAGTATCTGAGGAGACACCTAAAGAGGAGAGACATCAGAACCAAGAGGAGGGGGTCTCCATCCACCTTCGACCCCCTCACCAACACCAACAACTGTGAAGTTCCATCCTGGGGCCTCTTCTGTTTAACCTCTACATGCTCCCACTAGCTCAGATTATAAAAAACAATAAAAGAAATTATCATAACTACGCAGACGACACACAAATATACAGTGGGTACGGAAAGTATTCAGACCCCTTTACATTTTTCATGCTTTGTTTCATTGCAGCCATTTGCTAAAATCAAAAAAGTTCATTTTATTTCTCATTAATGTACACTCAGCACCCCACCTTGACAGAAAAAAAAACAAATGTAGAAATTTTTGCAAATTTATTAAAAAAGAAAAACTGAAATATCACATGGTCATAAGTATTCAGACCCTTTGCTCAGTATTGAGTAGAAGCACCCTTTTGAGCTAGTACAGCCATGAGTCTTCTTGGGAATGATGCAACAAGTTTTTCCACACCTGGATTTGGGGATCCTCTGCCATTCTTCCTTGCAGATCCTCTCCAGTTCTGTCAGGTTGGATGATGAACATTGGTGGACAGCCATTTTCAGGTCTCTCCAGAGATGCTCAATTGGGTTTAGGTCAGGGCTCTGGCTGGGCCAGTCAAGAATGGTCACAGAGTTGTTCCGAAGCCACTCCTTTGTTATTTTAGCTGTGTGCTTAGGGTCATTGTCTTGTTGGAAGGTGAACCTTCAGCCCAGTCTGAGGACCTGAGCACTCTTGAAGAGGTTTTCTTCCAGGATATCTCTGTACTTGGCCGCATTCATTTTTCCTTCAATTGCAACCAGTCGTCCTGTCCCTGCAGCTGAAAAACACCCCCATAGCCTGATGCTGCCACCACCATGTTTCACTGTTGGGATTGTATTGGGCAGGTGATGAGCAGTGCCTGGTTTTCTCCACACATACCGCTTAGAATTAAAGCCAAAAAGTTCAATCTTGGTCTCATCAGACCAGAGAATCTTCTTTCTCATAGTCTGGGAGTCCTTCATGTGTTTTTTGGCAAACTCTATGCAGGCTTTCGTATGTCTTGCACTGAGGAGAGGCTTCCATCGGGCCACTCTGCCATAAAGCCCCGACTGCTGGAGGGCTGCAGTGATAGTTGACTTTATGGAACTTTCTCCCATCTCCCTACTGCATCTCTGGAGCTCAGCCACAGTGATCTTTGGGTTCTTCTTTACCTCTCTCACCAAGGCTCTTCTCCCACGATTGCTCAGTTTGGCTGGACGGCCAGGTCTAGGAAGAGTTCTGTTCGTCCCAAACTTCTTCCATTTAAGGATTATGGAGGCCACTGTGCTCTTAGGAACCTTGAGTGCTGCAGAAATTCTTTCGTAACCTTGGCCAGATCTGTGCCTTGCCACAATTCTGTCTCTGAGCTCCTTGGGCAGTTCCTTCGACCTCATGATTCTCATTTGCTCTGACATGCACTGTGAGCTGTAAGGTCTTATATAGACAGGTGTGTGCCTTTCCTAATCAAGTCCAATCAGTTTAATTAAACACAGCTGGACTCCAATGAAGGAGCAGAACCATCTCAAGGAGGATCAGAAGAAATGGACAGCATGTGAGTTAAATATGAGTGTCACAGCAAAGGGTCTGAATACTTATGACCATGTGATATTTCAGTTTTTCTTTTTTAATAAATTAGCAAAAATTTTCTGTCAAGATGGGGTGCTTAGTGTACATTAATGAGAAATAAAATGAACTTTTTTGATTTTAGCAAATGGCTGCAATGAAACAAAGAGTGAAAAATGTAAAGGGGTCTGAATACTTTCCGTACCCACTGTATATTACAATGTCGCCAGGCAACCATGGTCCAATAAAAGCACTGGGTAAATGCATAGAGCAAATCAATGAGTGGATGCGCAAAAATTTTCTCCAGCTAAACAAAGACAAAACTGAGGTTGTTGTTTTTGGAGCAAAGGAAGAGCGACTAAGAGTCAGCAATCAGCTTCAGTCAGTAAGACTTAAAAATTTAAAAGCCTCATTAAGACAATTACAAAGTCAGCCTACTATCACCTGAAGAACATATCAAGAATTAGAGGACTTATGTCCCAGCAGGACCTGGAAAAACTTGTCCATGCTTTTATTGGTTTATCTCTTTTAAATCCAGGTTGAAGACACACCTGTTTACAGCTGCCTTTCATTAAACAATTTTAATAAGATTTTACATTTTAACACTGCACTGTAACTTTTAACTCTTTTTATATTTTTACTTTATTTATTTCAACTAATTTCATTTGAATTATTTTTATTTGAACATATGTTCAGATTTAATAATTTCATTGATTTTTAAATTTTTTATTTTAATGTTTCTTTTCTTTCCTCTGTCATGATGCTTTTGATGTCTTATATGAAGCACTTTGAATTGCCTTGTTGTTGAAATGTACTATATAAGTAAACTTGCCGTGCCTTGCCTTACATTTCATCCAGTGATGCTATTGCTTTGGCGTGGAGATTAGATTTATTGCTGGACTTTTTTTTTAACAGAAAACTTAATATAGGTAAAATACGCCTGTTATCAATTTTATCAAATTTTCAAATGTAGGTTTTAGGTTAAAGCTCCTGTGAGGAACTTTAAGTTTGTGTCGATTTTGGCGCCCCCTGTGGACAGAGAGATACCTCTTTAACTGTCTGCTGTTTTTTTCCTGTAAATTGTGTTTTAGAACAATACATGTCATTGTGCTTTATTTTAACAGTCTTAGAATAACTGAGTGAGAATCCTTGCTGTGGAAAATGTAAAAAGAGTGATGTTTCTGCAGCGTAGTATTTATTACAGCAGTTGTTTTGCTGATTATGAAACACAGTGTTTACATGATGCCTCTATATGATCTACAAAAGCAAACAAGAGCGTCAGGAAGAAGATTGTTTCTGAACCAGTTTTTTACACCTGTCAATTCTGCTAATGGGTCAGCTCTTGTTTGTCAGTGTCTGGTAAGCCCATGTGGGCCGGGCACCCTTTGGTGTATTTGCTCCTATTATAAATCTTAAAGAAGTATAACTTACGTTTTAATATCGGTAACCTGGTCATAGAATACAATATCCAAGATATGATGGAAATAAATGACATTGCACTTTATGCAAAATGCTTACCACAGTGGCTGTAAACGAGAAGAACCATCCTCTCTACTAAATAAATTCTATGAATAAATGATTAACTCAGTTGCAGACCTCAATCCCCCATCGTGTTGCACTCTGTCAGTCTTGCTGTTGATAAATGACTGCAGGCTTCTTCACTCAGAAACATTTCTGCAACATTCCCCCTTCTGTAAGTTTAACTGATGCCACACAGGGGTTAGTTTATCTTAAATGCATGTTTTATTTGTCCTTTGAATTTGCAGAAATTTTGTTTAATCTCAACTTGTCTCTGGGCAGCAAACAACACCTGAGCAACTGAGCGTCTGCAAGCATCAGCCAGACACAACGTGGCCCCCACCTCCTCTTTATTATCAGCTAATTAGTGTGGTTAATAAGGCTGATAATGAGCCTGGGCGCCATGCCATTTCCATCTGACATCAGGCCAGGGTTCAGATCCCCACCAGGCGAGCACACGGCGGCCAAAGGAGATCTCCCTGAAGGTGTGTCCTCCAGGTCATGGTAGCAACGAGCGAAGACAACAGCAATAATTGGCCATACATCCTTTTTGTTGGTGCAGGGAAGATGAAAAATAAAACCGCTTAAGAAGGTTTACAAACTGGGAACAGGTTTGTCATTTATCTCTGCAAGCTTTCCAGGATTTTCTACTGTTTAGACTTAAGAGGAAAAATAAAAATGGATGTTCTATGTAACATCCTTTTGACCCCTTCAGACACTTATCAGAACCCAAATCACTGCCTTGTGACACTAGCATCACCAACATTTTCTCTTATCATAGTGCTGTAATCAGAAACAAACCAGCACTAACACCTCCCATCTACCTCCCCTCCCTCAATCTCTCTCTCTCCCTCTCTCTCCCTCCCTGCTGCCTCACTCATACCCTGAGCAGCACACAGAGCTGGATAAACGTCTCCATCAGCCCGCAGCACACAGACTCATTTCTCCTCACACCAGCTCTGAGTGGATGCTCAGCAGGGGTGTGTGAGATATTAGCACGCTGTGTGTGGGGGGGGGGGGTTGGAAACTCCTCAGGGACTTCTACCACATCCACACACCAAGGAAGAAGGTAAGCCTGTGGACTTCTTTTAGAAGAGATTCTTGTTTGCTGTTAGGTACCAGAGTGAATTTACAGCCTTTAGGTGTCACACATGTTGTCAGGAGGCCCAGGACAGATTTATAAAAGTGCTTCATGAATATTTTGGAGCTGTTTGGACATTTTTACTCCTGGATATTGAATTCTGCTGTCAATAGAAGTGTGCAGATTGTTTGTAAGTCTGACCTGCATGTGTCTAATCCTTGTTTCGCGTACAAGTTTACAGGCGAACAGTACCACTCACTGAACCCTACCACATGTAATCCTAATGTGCTTAAAAGAAGGAGAGCTCGAAACATTTCGTAAAGATTAGTCTCACTTTCAGAAAAAAGGATTTTTATGTTTGACACACTGACCAGTTAGGTTGTCAACACTTAAAAAACTTATAACCATGCATCAAATATGCATAATTTACTTGCTGAAACATGAGATGGTGAGAACATATTTGGAAAAGGATTCTTTAATGACATTCTAAAGCTGTTTTGAAGGAGAATATTCTGACATCCAATCCAACTAGATCAGTTTGAAGCTTTGATGATTGTACACATCAATTATGATGTCTTTTTACTTAGCTTTAAAAATGTTTGATACTTATGCATAATAACATTAAACCTTGTTTTTATAGCATGTTTCAAATAAGGCTAAAAAAGAACACATACTAAGTAATTTATTTATATTCTAAGAATTCCACTGATTTCTGAAAAGCATGAACAGCCATCATAATGAGTATTAACTTTCATCAACATAGACATGCTCCATACTCTGATTCTAAAGGATATCAGCTTTGTTTTTGATCTTTATATTGATTTAAATGTATCTAAAAAAATATGATAAAAATGAATGGTTTGCTGATATGTGATGAAACTTTTAGGGGGTGGTACACATAATTTATCTAAAAAAATAAAAACAAATTACTCAGTCTTAAAATTATTAGATAAGATTTCTATTGAATTAATTTCTGCTGTATTTAAATGTTTAAAAAGCCATGGATATTATCTGCATGGGTTTTAAATTTGTTCTATAAAAATATGTATAAAAAATATGCAATAGGAAAAAACTTGCCACCAAATTGAACTGAAACTGCTAAATGCTGCCTTCTCTCTTTTCTGAGAACCCACAAACCAGAAATACAGCACAGCAATCCATGGACAGTTAAAGATGTAAATAACTCTTCCTCTTTGACAACTAATCTTTTACTGACACAGCAGAATGCACATTATTGCACAGTTTTCCATAAAGTGAGGCCTTTCTTGAATGCAGTTTCACAGGGTTTGAGCATCAAAGGCACTTTCTGTGCGAGTCTGATGCCGAGGATGTGAAGGTCTAACAAGCCCCTGTCTGCTCTTCATCACTGTAGAGCCAGATATGTGCCCATGAGTATTCATCAGGCAGGGCTAATGGGGCACAGCAGTGTGAGCCTCTGATTTACAGCGGGGCCCCTGTCAGACCTAATGATAGGGCAATGGGGCTGGTTATGGTGAAACAGGTGCTGCACAATGAGCAGATGCAAAGCAATGCTTGCTGAAAGCAAAGGCTGATTGTCATTTTGTCCCCTGCACAAATGCTCATTTGCAATATTATGTTCACACATACATAATTATTGTGCATAGAAATAAGCTCTCTGGAAGTGGAGCTAGAGGCCTGGTGTGTGCATGTGTGTGTGTAAGGGGTGGTGGGGTGGACAGATGTTTCAACCAACAATGGTCAGTGAAGGTAAATTTAATGGTCATTTTACTGCTCCACAAATTGTTCCCAGAATAAATGTCACATTTAATAATCCCTCAGTCCAAGAATTTATTCAGACCAGATGGAGCTGAATGATAAATAACGTCATAAATGAACTCGTAAACTGAATAAAACCTGTTGAATATTTTAAGGTAATTAAAACAGGTGGGCCGAGCCCTCAAGAATCATCTTTACTATTGTCAAGTAATCATTTTAACAACTTAGGCATCAGATGGTGTTAGGGCTGGACCATATGGACCAAACAAAACATGGTTGTTTGCTGAACTCACTCAAAGCCAAAGAACTACAAAAAATACACAGTTGTGTTTTAGCACTGCTGGAGAATGTTAAAACCACATACATTGGTAACTTCAATAAATACATAAATAATGCAATGCTGTTTTATAAAGACAGCTAACAAATTACCTTCACAAAATAAACCAAAATATTCCTTCAGTCAGATAAAGGCCCGAACATCAGTGCTCTATGTCCATGGTTTCCAGCCTCATTAGCATAGCCTGTTAAAAAGAAGTGAGACCTTTTCAGTGGACTTAACTTAAGGAGAATTTATTTTGGTGCAAATGCTTTGCATTTCAGTCCACTGAATTATATTTTGAACGTCTAAGGTCCTTCTCTGAGATCACCAAACTCCAAAAAGCTGAAGCACAAGAGTTTCCTTCTACTTTGATAAGACCTTTTGTCTGATTCAATCAAAGCCTGTAAACGGGAAGATGTTTTGTCCTTTTCCTTTATCCTTTATCTCTGATCATTCTTTTTTTTTTTTTTTTAAGATTTTTTTTTTTTGACTTTTTTATGCCTTTATTCTAGAGACAGGAAAATGGATAGAGTCAGACCAGTGAGAGAGAGAGAGTGAGGAACAACATGGAGCCACAGTTTGGATTCGATCCCAGTCCGCCTGCTCTCAAGGGATAAGCCTCTACACATGGGGGCGCACGTTCCAACCACTAGGCCGCCGGTGCCACTGATTGTTCGTTTTAGGGGCTTTAGGAAACACAACGAGCTGATATTATCCATAACAGCATATGAAATGTGAAAAATTAGTGTAAAATCTGGAAAAAAAAGGCAACATCTTTGGTATGATATAAACATTATTTTGTATTTCTCCTCTCTAAGTCATCATATAGGACCCTTTAGAATTATGGTTGTACCATTTGTTTGGACCAAGGATAAGATAAGATAAAAAAAAGGAATTTATTGATCCCTCTTTGGGGGAATTCAGTTGTTACAAAAGCTCAAAGGACAGAACAAGAGTAGATAAGTCACGGATACAAAAATACAAAAAGGACAGATAATAATGAAAATAAAATCATAATGATTGTAAGAATATAAATAAATGTATACACCATTTACACCTTCAACCTTGCCCTGGTTGTTGAAACATACATATCAATATGATATAGTGACTGCATAGTAACCACTACTAATGTGATGTAATGTTGCACAAACATACACAAAAACAACATACAATGTAGAAAAGTATATCATGCTGAGGGACAAACTGTTTCAATACCACTAGACACACAGTTTCACAACTTCTGTCAGTGAAGCTGCTGTAGGTGTTCAGCAGTTGAAGCTCACTCACTGCAGGTCAGCTGGCACAGTTTAACGATGGATCACTGCACAGCCCACACACACACACACACACACATAAATACACACACTGGTAGCTCTCTGCCTGGACCATCCCACACTCACACGTAGTCTTTCCCACAGAGCCGGCAGACAGGAGGAATATGGGCAAATCCGAAAGCCAAATGGATATCATGGAGAAATCAAGTAAACCCGGGAAGCGTCGTTGGACTGTTGCAGAGATTGGGCTGTCTGTGCTGCTGCTGTTGGTCAGCTGTGCCTTGGCCGGGCTAGTGGTCCTCTACACGTCAGTGGTGAAAGGTAACGTCTCTGCTAGGCTCACTGAGGAAAGATCTACATATTACAGATGGTAGCAGCAATGACAAGTGCCTCTCTGCTCTTCTTTTTGTGTGACTGCAAGCTGAGTGGACACAGGAAAAGATCCTGACCCTAGAGACGCTCTCAGACAAGAGTTATTTAAAATTGATGCATAAATGTAATCAAATAGACTTTTTTTTTTAAAAAGGTTTATGTCACTTTCCAGATTTTTAAGGAGTTTTCTTCACCCACACAGAGGCCTTACCATTATGTGGAACTCAAGACTCTTTTTCTTTTTCTTTTTTAGTTTGTTTAAGAAAGTAAGAATCTTACGTGGACTTTTAAAGCACAAGCACAATACTGCATGTATTTTCTCTTGCCTAGATGCTTCTGGTCAATAAAACCTCTTACTTTTAAATGACATTTTCCCCTCTGTATCTTTCATCCATTTCAGAACAAGCCACCAGGATGAGTGTGTCACAGAGCTCAACAAGTGAAGGTGAGCTTTGGTCGCGTTAAGCCTATAAACTGAGCGCAGAATAAACTGTGGGATGAGTGGGTTGGCGTGTGTCATATTTGAGGCTGCACTTCTGATAGTTACCCTGTAATACTGTAATTCCCTTTACTGCCTCATCAGCGGAGTCACACAAAAGTCTACAGAGTCACTGCTGACACAGACTTGTCCCTCTCTAACACACTCATAGAGACTGTGCCATGGATAAAGGCTTTTTTAGGATGTCATCTATATTTCAACCTATCTGAGTGTCATTTGTCCAAAAGGCTTTCTTGTAAATGTTGATATTGATTTCTCCAGGCCAGTTTTTTCACTTGAGTCCAAGCGAAGTGTGCACGACTGCAGACTGCGTCACTGCAGGTTAGAGGAACTATTTCTTTCTGCTCTCCTGCTCTGTGATATTCTAAACAAAGTTAACCCCAGATTCATGCAAAACACATTTGATGTCCCTCCCCCCCCCCACCATTTTTTTCCTCCTGAAACCTTGAAGCTGCTCGACTCCTGCAGAACATGGACCAGTCTGCAAAGCCCTGTGACAACTTCTACCAGTACGCCTGCGGGGGTTGGCTGGAACGACATGTCATCCCAGAGACGAGCTCCCGTCACAGCGTCTTTGACATTCTGAGGGACAAACTGGAGATTGTCCTCAAAGGTCAGCTCAATGTTCATTGGTCGGTGTACGGTAGAGTTCGGGGCTGTGCGTGGGTTTTATTCAGAGAGGAAACATCTGTGTGTGTGTGTGTGTGTGTGTGTGTGTGTTTTTGTCTGTTGTTGCAGGTGTTCTTGAGACAGAGAGTCAACAGGACAGAGATGCCATAAAGAAGGCCAAAATCCTGTACAACTCCTGCATGAATGAAAGTAAGGATCTCTTTATGCAGTGTCAAAAAGGATGTTCACTTCTGAAAAAAGGCAAGGTTGTTGATAAAAACTGTTAGTCAGGGCAAATATTTAAGGCATTTGTTCATCTTTATAAGACTTTTCAAGTATTTTCGAGTTTTGAAACCTACAGATACTCTGCTCGACAGAAAGAGCTGCCAATAGTTTTTTCTTCCACTGCTTCATCAAGGCTTAAAAATAGCCATTGACAATCACACACTAGTAAAAATTACAGACAGACTACAGTGTTGTGGTATTTTCAGGCCTCATAGAGCAGCGTGACTCGCAGCCCCTCCTCAAGCTCATCAACAGTATCGGGGACTGGCCCGTGGCGTCAGATGACTGGAACACCACCACAGGTAGATGAATATCCCTGAACCACAATCTGATGAATGTTTACAGTTTTTTTTATGTACAGTGTGCACATGCAATACATCCACACACCAAAAAAATCCAAAAAAACATTCCCACTCAAATACATGTGCTCACACAAAGCTCGTGTGGGCTATATTTGTAGTCAGGGAAATGCTGAGTACCAGCTTTGTTGGCGGGATCAAGAGGCCGCTGAGGCTCTTCAGCTGAGCAGTCAGGTGTGGAGTTTGGGAGCGTGATGAGTGGGCAGAGGAGCAGGGCCTCACTCAGGACTGAGAAGGAGGAGGCTTTAAATAGTCTACTCTGCTCTTCCCAAAGCTCCTGGCTTCTGCCACTTCAATTAAATGTAACCATGGATGGTGGCTCTAACAGAATTGACCACACATAGCTGCACACACAGATTTACACAGAGAGACCATTAAAATTAGCAGAATGGGAAAAGAGGGGACCTGCTTTTTTTTTTCTCTGGCTGCCACATTGAAAAGCTCTTCACAGCTAAACTGTGTATAAATGAAGTGCCACTTTCTTCCTCATGTTGCAGAGGAAGCATGGAGCCTGGAGGACACACTGGCGACTCTCACCAGCCGTTTCAACAAGAAGGTTCTGCTGGACATGTACGTGTGGACGGACGATCGTGACTCCCGGCGTCATATCATTTATGTAAGATTGATGACTATTGGTGCACAGATAACCAGTAACAGATCTGCTTTCATTAAACAGTCCTTTGCTTTCCTTTTACATTTTTATCATAAAAGGCAAATCCCAAGAAAAGACAAAGAACAACAGTGTGTATTTCTAAGCAGGGATTAATTCAAAGTTGTTATCCTTGGGACTTCCTATGAAGGTGTACATTGGTTTGACTACATATCGACTGAAGTATTCGTGTGCATGGTAATGTTCAGGGTAACTCGAGTAGATGTTTCTCGCGTAAAAGAACAAGATAATCAGACTTTGGCTACAAAGACAATAATTGTTAGTAGGTTTAGAAATCACAGGGCTACTCACAACACACGTTACATGGACAATGATAACAATGATATTAAGATACAGCGATTCTATGACGTTTGATACATTATAATGATACATCATGATATCTAATTAACGTCCGTTCTTGTTACTCTCATTTATGTCATAAGGATTCATGATGTAGTGACGCGGGGAGGTAATATATATTATACTGTATATATTTATACAGGCTATATAAATATTTTAGATATATTTTGTTGTTTTGTTGGACAATTGCAAGAGTCAGGAAGACGACATATATTTCTGTTTTGATATCCATGCCTATTTGCTAGTGGGGGGGGGGTTATAATTCTGCTTAAATGTTGGGACACTGAAGGGTTAATATTAGAAAAATGTATGCATACAACAAATAGCTTAAAGATCTCCTTTTATATTATGTTAAGACTGACCAGCCAGGACTCGGAATGCCATCAAGAGATTATTACTTCAATGATGGAAATTACAAGAAGGTAAGGTCTTACATAATCGGTTTACCAATATGACACTCAAAAAACTCCAAAACAACAACACATCTTTGACTTCATTCTTAAGGTATCTTAAACTGTAAAGGACTTTGGTTTTATTTGACATATCTGTGTTTGAGATATTTGCCTCTTTCGCAGTACAAAGAAGGTGAAAGACATTATGTTTGTTATGTGAACCGCATTAAAGAGCTACACACAAGCTTTGATTCACAGTAAAAGCTGCACCAAAACGACTTCTACTAAAGAAATAGTCCAAATTAGTTTCAATTTTGAACAATAAACTTTGGTTTTGAGTAACTCGTGTTATTTTCATTGTGTTGACAACCGTAACTTCGTTCACCACAGCTGTCCTGACATAACCTTAAATTTGATGTGGAAACAAGTTTGACAGCTTGTGATTGCATCACAGGTTCGAGAGGCCTACCTTCATTTCATGGTTTCCATCGCAAAGATAACCCGAGAGGACAAGAACTTGACTCAGGAAGACGACCGTGTGTGGGAGGAAATGATGCAAGTGCTGGAGTTGGAGACAGACATCGCCAATGTGAGTGCCAGCCACAACAGGAAATAAAACTGTGTAAAGAGCGATAAAGAAAATGAATGATGACAAGATGAAAAACAGCACCTCCTCTCTGCTCCCATTAAATGAGAGAATCAGTTCATATTTCATTTGAATGTTGGGGATCAGCCAAGCTTTTAACCTTTCATTTTTAGTGCCTGTCAAGAGCATGCCAAAGGAGACTTTTATGATGAAAGAAGAGCAAAATGTTAATGTAGATTAAAAAAGTATCAGTTAGTAGAAGAACTTTCCCTTTCTGTTGCTGTGCAGGCTACCTCACCGGCAGAGGAGCGCCAAGATGTCACCATCCTCTACAATAAGATGACGCTGGGAGAGCTGCAGAGCACTTACAGCCTTAATGTAAGTGTAATTTCACTTCTTTCTTATGTGTTACATTAGCTTTTTACTAAGACACTGTATCTTTGAAATCAGAGTAGGATAACTAAATAAAGGAATAAATATATTTTCACTTAGTAATAAACAGTTCAGGTGCCTTTGAACAAGGCAATTTTGTGCAGTCTACGTGTTAGGGTTGTAAGCCATGGAAACGACTAGTCTCTGATTAGCTGGCGGATGTGAAATAAACAAATATTTAAACAAATTTGGGAAATTTAACCACAACTTATCAATCAGCCAGGGCTTGAAAACAGACATTAGCATGTTTAGTTTAATGTCGACCCCCAAGGGATCATGTTTATTTATGTTCACTTTACCTGAAAAATTATAAGAAATGAGATACAAACATACTTTACTATACTTTCTTTTAGAGAATCTTATTTTTTTTTTAATGATAATGTCATGTGATAATGTATGTTACAAACAGGTAGCTTAACATTGTCCCAAATTAAATAGATTAACCTGCTACCACTTCTATAGCATTAACATGTTTTATCTTTTATGTTTTATCGGGGGACAAAATGTAATAAGTAGCTAGTTGCCTAAAAGAGCTAAATTTATTTCGTCAATAAGGTTTAAAGTGTGAAGTTAAGTTTTGATCAGGATAGCTGTTCACCCTGTTTCCATTCTTTCTTTGTGCTAATCTGAGCTAAAAGTCGGCTGGCTCTAGATAGTTTTGGACAAGAAAGCATTAAGAATACGTGTATTCCCTTTAATGATGAACTTTTCCTTCAATACTGTACAACAGTAACCTTGAGAATAGATCCAACTAACAGCTGACAGCTTTAATGCACTTATAGACAGATGACAACAGTCTTTGTCTTCAGCTAAGTTAAGTTAAAAGACTGCTAGCTCAACCCATGTCTCTGGAAGAAAGCAAACAAGTATATTATCAGAATGTACAACTACTCCTCTATGAGGTAGGAACCTAAGATTAGCGTACAGCTAACAAAGTACAGTGTTCTGCTTCTGATCACAGTAGTTCTCGTTCAGGTAACTTAGTACAAGTGTGAGCAAACATTGTGTAACAGTGGATGAAGGTAGGCTACTGACACATTTCTTATTGTATGTGGGTACGCAATGGATTCAATAACATGTACAGTGGTGCTTACCTAACCTCAGCCATGTCTGTAGTTTTTTTTTTAAAGTGATAACTTGCGGGTTCAGGTTTACTTGTTACATGGTAATAGTAACAGGTGCTAGACTGGCTTTACCTGAAAGTTCAATATTTCAAAATGTCTTCCAAGTGTTGCTGAAACTTTTTCTCCATTTTGGTTTAGTTTATTGTTTATACTTCTATTCATAACGTACAACCAGCAGACTTTGAGATCATTGCTGTTCCCATCTTCTCTCTTCCCTTTTCCAGGGTTTTAACTGGACACGATTTATTCAAGGGGTGCTTTCAAGTGTGTCCATTGCGGTGCAGCCGGAGGAGGAGGTGGTGGTTTACAGCGCTCCCTACCTTGAGAAGATGAATGACGTTCTCTCCAGACACAGTGTCAGGTCACTCCAAGAGTTCTAAGCAAAATGTAGCAAATGAAAATCTTATTATAACAGAATATGTACAACTGAGCCAAAAAAAATCTAACAAAAAAATCATTAATCTTTACAGAACTATGCAGAACTACCTCACCTGGCAGCTCATCTTCGACAGAGTTAATAGCCTGAGCCGTCGTTTCAAAGATGCCAGAGCGCGTTACAGGAAGGTGGGATGAGTATGACACAACAGAACGGCACACATTAACACAAGACTGTCAGAAACTGAAATAACAGTGTGCTTCTTTCTGTGTCTGTGTGTTATCAGACTCTCTATGGGACCACTGTGGAGGATGCTTGGTGGAGGGAATGTGTCCGTTATGTTCAGAGCAGCATGGAGAACGCTGTTGGAGCGCTATATGTGCAAGAGACCTTTGCAGGAGAGGGCAAACAAATGGTGAGTCCTTTTTGGTACTGTGGCTGCCAACGGAGCAAACTAGCTGCTGCAAATGCAAAAAAGTTACTGCAAAGAGTCTTCAAAATGCTTTAAAGAAAATGCATATTCAGTCATCACAACAGGAGTGACTTTTGGGTGTGTCGTTGAACTTGCATCCTTTCTGGATTTGTAGTCAGTCTTGTTATTAGTCTTTTGACCGATGCAGCTCTTGTCAGTCATCGAAGTGAATCCTACAAACATAACAAAAACACTGTTTCTTTTTAAAGCAAGCAGATACTTTTACTGTAACGATTAGGGTTTATGTCCAACAAGGAATTCAAACTGTAACTTTCACATTTTGCATTGTTATCAAGAAATAAAATGATGTACATTGTTCTCATTAAAATACATTTTAAGACAAGTTACACTTTTTAGACTCCAAACTGCATTGTGTGATATTTAATCAAGAAAAAAAACAAGTGACATGTTCAATTAAATGCACTGTTGTAATATGACAAATATTACATAGCATCCATAATAAAGACAAGAGCAATGAAACAGCCACATGGTATTTATAATTATTCCAATCTATTTTTCTTCATCCTGTGCTTTATGCAACATACAGGACTCATGATCGGCCATAAATATCTATTTTATAAACAACATGTATCATGTATTAGCTGAGGCCACGTAATCATGATAGAGTGTGGTTGCACTGTCAACAGGTCAGTGACCTTATCAGAAAGATCCAGCAGGCGTATGTGGAAACACTTGAGGAGTTAAACTGGATGGATACTCCCTCCAAAGAGAAGGCAAGAGAGAAGGTAAAAAAAAAAACACAGCCAAGATAAGAGACTAAGAGTGTATCCTCTCTAGAAATTAAAAAAAAAATTGATTTCTGTAACTATGGAGAAATCTTAATGTGATCATAGTGTGTTATACTTATTATGCTGTCGCTCTTGTAGGCCATGGCAATCAAGGAGCACATTGGCTATCCAGATCACATTCTGCAGGAAAGCAACCAGAAGCTTGACAAAGAATACGCTCATGTAAGTGACTTCTATTTCCGGGCCAAGTGTTAATAACGGATGGATTCACTTTTTACTGATTTGATCTGTTTGTCCTTCCAGCTTAATTATAGTGATGAACATTATTTCGAGAACATCCTGGAGAACCTCAGGTCAGAAGCACAGAAGAGCCTGAAGAAGCTCAGAGAGCCGGTTGACCCTGACCTGTAAGCTTTTGATACACCTGTAATTTGAAGCTGTTAGTACAACACACTCAGGCCGTAATCATATTTTAAGTGTATGATATCAAACACAATCAAGGTCGACAAAACGGCATTCCCTTATTCAAAATGTAATTACATAATGTGTCTGACTGTTTTTAAGATTGGTAAGTAGTTTGGGCTCAGACAAATAGCTGCATGAGAGATAAAATAACATGGACTTGATGTATTTATGTTCTTGTTTTAGTTGTTGTTGAAGATTTAATTGAAAAATGGCGGCCTTGGTTTGGAAATATGTTCTCTGTTGTATCTTTTTTTTAAACCCTTTGCTGACCACTCCTCAGGTGGATCATTGGTGCTGCTGTAGTGAATGCATTCTACTCCCCCAACAGAAACCAGATTGGTAAGACCTTTATGAGAATCAATGAGGTCGTCAGTAGCTTGTATTAAAAATCAGAGATTTTTTTTCCATGTAGAACCACAGTCCTTCTTTATTGTAAACCTGTTTAGTCCCGTCAGCACTTTTGGTGTTTTCACTGCTGTTGTTTTTGTCCGTCCTCAGTGTTTCCAGCAGGAATCCTGCAGCCACCTTTCTTTAGTAAACAACAGCATCAGGCCCTCAACTTTGGTGGGATAGGAATGGTCATCGGCCATGAGATCACACATGGATTTGATGATAATGGTGAGACATGAGTGATTCATCATGAAAATGTTGTGAAGTCTGAACTGATCAATTCAGTTGATCAGCTTCTGTCATTTTATAATATATTAAAGGTAGAGTCAGTAACAATGTTTGTTGCAGCTTGTAAAGACAACATTCAAATTTGACTCAAAGTGATGATTAAGCAGCGTTACTTTAATAGAAGTCTACATTTGATTTTTAAGGAGCTACTGACTCTATCTTTAACAGCTGTGATAGGTTACATGCATCATGTTCGGTAAACAGACCACATCTCTTAATACACTGTGTTTCCCTGCAGGACGGAATTTTGACAAGGACGGTAATATGCTAAACTGGTGGAGTAATTACTCTGCAGAGCATTTTAAAGAGCAGTCACAGTGCATGGTGCAACAATACGGCAACTTCAACTGGAAGCTAGCAGGTGGACAGAATGTAAGCAAACTGAAGTGACATGTTTGTTTTCTATTTACTATTATCCTTGACAATATAAACCATGTATTAAGTGGCCACCAAATGAGTTATTCTCATGCGAGTGTGTGTGTTTATGTTTGTTGGGGTAAATGCAGGTCAGTGGTATCAGCACTTTAGGGGAGAACATTGCAGACAATGGAGGGGTCCGTCAAGCATACAAGGTTTGGTTTTAGCTGCCAAAATACAAAACAACGTGTTTCTTTTCTGCAGCAGTTATTTTCTTCAAATGTTTGTACAAACTTTTTGCTCATGTGAAATCTGTGTTTAAATGTGTATGTGTGTTTACAGGCGTATCTAAAGTGGGTGGAGATGCAGGGGGAAGAGCCTCGTCTGCCTGGTCTCGATATGGATCACAAGCAACTTTTCTTTCTTAACTTTGCCCAAGTAAGTATAACAAACAGGGGGAAAATTTGATTTCCAAATGTCCTATTTTAGCAGACAGGGGGCAGACAGCGGTTTCTCCATCAGCGGTCAAGGGCAAAATCCCAGGAGGTGCATTCTTAAGTTGATGTTGGGAAGTAAACACTGGGACAAAGTGAAAGGGTCGGGGGGTTAGGTGCTGAGCCAATCCCAGAACAAATCAGTGTTCAGGAACACACAAAGGGGATAAGATGAGCTGCCAAAGAAAAGAGCAATTCGCTGCCAGGGAATTTACAGAATAAGCAGAAAACGGGAAGCCACAATATTACAGGTCTAACCTCTGATTTCACAAGTCTATAACTCTCTTTCTATAACTGACTTTTGTGGTTGCCAGTTAGTTATTGTCTTCCAGCTTGAATCAGACGTGCACAGATAAAAGCTAATAATGATATGAAATGTACTGTGTAATAATAGAGCATAAACAGAGAGTATATTTGTGCTATAATACACATTTTGTTTCCGGTTAAATGTTCATTTTTGTTTGGTGAATTCTTTTTAAAACTTGATCACACTCTACTCATGAATCTCTTTTCTAGGTGTGGTGTGGTGCTTATCGGCCTGAGTATGCCAGCCAGTCAATCAAGACCGACTCACACAGTCCTTTAGAATACAGGTAAAGAGCTGAAGCATACTCACATATACCTCAGAACCAAAACTTATTCTATAGAGTTGTATGAATTCAATTAGTGTAGAAGTCAAGAATGACCATTGTTGTTATTCATTTCTTATTTTCTTAAGTTGAGTTCAGGGTTGAACTATTTTGATATTATTATGTTTTTATGTTTCTTTGGCCTATTTTTGGCTTTATTGGATAGAACATCTGAAGAGAAACAGGAAACTTCGGGAGGAGGGAGTGGGAACGACATTAAACAAAGGGCTGATGTCAGACTAGAACCCGCCGCTGCGATGAGGACTATAGCCTCTGTACATGGGGCGACATAACCGCTAAACTATCCAGCGCCCCGCAAATATTATATATTACAACAATGGCTAAATATTGCATGTGATCTCAATAAATAAAGGCTGCATTTCAATCCAAGCATGTAGTGTAAAGTTACAGAGACACTGCATTGTAATAAATATATATAGTTATACGGGCTAATTTTATATTATGAAATAATAACCGTTTTGTACAGCAGGCTATTTTTGCTGTATTTAGCCCACTACTATTACCTCAGCAGTTGGTGCAGACCAAAAACAAAGCTGAAAAAAAAATCTCAGGTTTAAAAAACAAGACTCAATAAAACTTTGCCTCACTTTGCCTCTTTGAATTAACAGATTTACCACACTATAGATTAAAGCCTAACACCAAGTTCTCAACTCACTACAGCTCCTTATGCTAATCTAATTACTGTGAAGCTACACTTTTACTAAGAAGTGCTAAGCATTTATAACATACCACCTTTTTTTTCCCTTTTTTTATAGGGTGCTTGGATCTCTCCAGAATTTTGAAGCGTTCTCAGAAGCTTTTCAGTGCCAAAAGGGGAGTATTATGAACCCCGAGCAGAAGTGCCGTGTCTGGTAGATTGTTTTTACTCCACAGATATTTATTTATTGAGGACAACTCAAATCAAAAGAACAAGTTGCAGTTGGAGACATTGTTCCTATTCCAATATATTTGGATATTGGATGTTGTGCATTTCAAATGGATGACATCCTGGCCATCCTTGTTTAAAAACTAACAGCATGTTTAATCACAAAAGGAAACTTGCTTGGGCATCTTCTCAAGTTTAAAGTGTTGTCTCTGGATGAGTAGGTCACCTGTCCTTTGCTGTCACACTTAGTGAGGAGTTGGTAAATAAAATGTCTTACATTAAAATAAAAACTGAGCTCACAGGGACGGCCTTAATGCTTTGCCAGCCTTCCTTAAATTAATCTTTTGTGCCGATTTTTGTGATTTACTCTTAAAAATTTGTCCTCTCTCTGACTTAACGTTTTTAAGACATCGCGCCAGTTCAGAAGAAACAACGGTCAAAAATAAAACTTTGACTAGAGAGAATAAAATAAATGAAAGCTGTGGGCTTTGCTGAAGTAATGCTTCAATAGAATTAGTCACACTCTGAGAGTTCTGTTCATTCACTCTTATATGAAACACATTATCTTAAGACTTTAAGACTGTTAAATCTTTGCAGCTTTAACCTTAAATTAGCATTCTGCTAAAGCTGCTGCTTTCGACATTTCTTCACTGACAAAGTGGATAAAGATGTAATATTTATGAAGATACTGAGTTCTTTATCGAGCATTACTTTTTTTCTAATTGTCTTTATCAGGTTCTGCAAATGGTTGTTGCTGAATACTCACTGCAGAAATGTTTATGTATGCCATGACTGTTTGCTGTAAAATAATAATAATAATAATTTTCCAGATGTTTTGAACATTATTGGTGTGTCTGCTGCTTCGTAGCTTGTGTCAAAAATACCTAAGGGTGACGTGATAATGATGGAAAGGTTTCACTTTAAATGGGTACAACCCGGTTTAGGTACAGAGTTTACACTCAGATACTCATAATGGTTGTGTTGTGTAGTCAGACCATTACTCCCTAGATTTATTGAAATCTATTATAACTGCTTGTATCATATCTGTACGTTTATACTGAGCTTGAAATACTGATTGATTTGTTGAGCAAATGTACTTTCCTTTATCAAACAATCTGACCACAGTGCTTACAAGACTTGTACCCTCTGGGCATAGCCAATTACATGCTGAAAAGGGGGTGGGAAAAGAAAACCTCCTCAGATAGCTTCACACATGGCTGAGCAGCAGATGAAGTGCTTTGCCCTCTGATCTCACATTGATCTGTTCTGTGTAAGATGAAAGGATGAAGTGCAGTGTGCTGAAGCATGGTGACCGCCAGTAGCCAAACCACAAGCCACAATCATTAAAGAGATGGCTAGGGCCAGGACTGTTATTTTCTACCTTTATTAACAAGTAATGACAGGAGAATCAAAGCAGAGGGGATGCAGGTAGCAGCATCAGGAAGCTACGGTGTTGTGTGCTGAACAGAGCTTTTATTTAGAAGGAAAGAAAAACAGCCTCTAAATGTTTGCTTGTCATTGATCAAATTCAGGATGCTTTGGTAACCTGAAGACGACTTTTGGGCTTCGACAGAGGCTGCTGAATTGAATGTACATATTGAAGCTTTACGCTCTCAGTCCGTCTCTCAGTCTTCACATATTTACTGTTACTCTTAGCACTGTTTTTCTAAGAATGTAAATGTTGATAATGTGCTCACATGTTAAAGCTAAAGTTTGACATTTCAGGAATCATTACGCTGATTCGCTTTCTGGCAGAGTTGGACGAGATAAACGATACCACACTCATGTCTGTTAAATATAAGCTACAACCAACAGGTGGTTACAGTAGCTTGGCATTAAGTTAGTAACAGTTAGCTCTGTCAAACAAAAACTGACCCTCTCAGACTTACACTAATTTCCTTTTTTAAATCTGCTTAAAAAGAAAGGTGTAAAGATATTAAACAGCATTTTACCAGAGCTTATTGGCTGGATAAGCGCTTTTGGATTCCCAGTTTATTTTGTGGTTTCCAAGGACAGCAAACCAAAATGCCACTGTATGTAACAGCCAATCAGAGCGGCAAAATCTGTGATGCAGGAGCAAGTGGATATGCTATAGCTTGTTCCAATTTCCAATTCCTGGTGCTTGTAGAATCAATCAATGATTATTTGTATAGTGCCAATTCATAACAAGTGATATCTCGAGAACCATACAAGAAACTATAACATTTCAGATCATTCCACATCAACATCTTGGTTTTTGACCAAAATGCGTCACCTTGGCTTAAACCTCCCTTTATTAGATCAAACAGTTTTGATTAATCAGGTCAGGCAGATCAAACCAGTTTTCAATGGTTTTCCTGATCCTCGGCACTAACAATTAGCTCATGGTTTTCACAGAAAAAGTTCATCTTTTGGATTTTGTTTGGAAAGATTTTAACTAGACTAGCTTTTCCCCACTGTTTAAAGTCTTTGTGCTAATCTTAGCTAACTTTCTTAGAGCTTCTTATTTATAAGACACGCATGACGGTGGAAACAGTCCTTTAATCTTGTTCTTTCCAGGAAAGAGAACAAGTGTATCTCGTGAAATGTCAAAGCCTTTTATTTTGAACAAGAAGGCACATGTATCATGTCTGGTTCAAAGAGATGCTGGAGGAGGAATCATAAGCTACAGTGCAAAGAGAAGGCTGCTGTTTGAAAGGCAACAGCTGAAGCTCGGACTATTGTTTATTTTGTCCGGTTTTATTCAAGTTTCAAGAATATATATATAGTAGAAACTGTTAGCTGAACAAGAATGGGAAGGTTAAATTGAACGTTTTATTGTAGATACTAGGTGTTCTATACTGCAGTATTTACATATAAATAGTCATTATTATATATTAAATAAGAGAGCTGATATATCTTGCCTTAGTTCTAGCTTCACATCGGCTGAAGTTGTGTGGTTTAGAAATTCAGAAGCCAAGAACAAATACATTTTTGTACTATATAAACATGTTTATGTGTATACCCATCAGAGGATTTTATTTATCTACATGAATATTTAAGACATGTCATTGTTGCTTTGCAAGAATTCAGATGTTAAAGATGTTTTATGAATGTTCCTGCTGCTATGTAACGATGTAGATTGCCATTAAAGTGACTGTCTCTACTGGTTCCACTGGTATCATCTCAAGTCTCTCCTTTGCATGAACATGTGTGTATAAAAACCTGACATCTTTGCAAAGGCAAAAAAATACAAGAGGATAAGAATGCTTCTATATCTATAATTTACTTTATTCACATTTTAGTTCAGAAAAAAATATATTTAACAATTAATGCATGCGCGAGGTAGGACTACACCATCTTAATTATGATTTTGATTACATCCCTATATTTAAATTGTCGGCTACACTTACAATTCTATTTTGGTTTGGTACAACTTACATATTATCTAAATCAGAAATTCACGGTTCTCACATCATGAATTCTTCTAATTTAGTTGATCCACTTCCTCTGGTGCCTACAATCCCTTGTAATTTTACTGAAATAATGAGTAGAATATAAAGTGAATATATGAAGAAGGGGGTTAAAAAAAACCCACTTCAATGACAACATGTACTGCTTTGACAGAGCCTTAAGAGAGGTATATGGAGTGTAGTTTGTGAATATTTTTGCACATATCTGAGGGCAGTTTGTGTCAAAGTGTATGATATGACCTTACATTTATCATATTCCTCTGTTTGCACTGAACTGCTCACAAACTGATTTGGATTTTTAAGATCTTTATAACAACCACACACACAGAAATATTTTTATTATAGACTGATGCAAAAGATGCAAATGAATAAAAATTATAATTGTTGTGATCATGATGTCATTTTAAAATGTATTTTAATGAAAAGGTAAATCTTATAAAGGAGTGTCACTAAAGCTTTCACATTATCTAATAAAATAATAAAATATTAAAACGTCAAAAAGGGATTTCAAGCAATTAGGAATTTTGGCAGACATTCATGTTCAGCTAGTTCACTTGGTGTTACTCGGCTTCTTTCATTTCCATGTCAGCCTGCCGGTGTGTCTGATAGTTTGCTCAGTCTTCATCGAGTACAGATGTCATCATTGCACTGTAGGAAAAAGTACAAATGTTAAACATCAGTAATGACGAAAATAATGATTTTTTTAAAGATGCATTTGGATGAATGACAGTCAATTGAAAAAAGTGAACCAATACAGACAACGTCTGACAGGAAAGATAGCAGCTTTGATTATCGATCAAGCTGTCCACCCAGCTACATAACGCACATTTCCCTGCTCTGTACATTGTGAATCCTGCTAATCTCCCTCAATCCTTATTGATTCAAAAGAGCTATTAATCGTTAATGTGAATGCCTCCAGTGCACCTGAGTGTAATTTAAAATGTTGAGTAAGTTCACTTTCCAGAGGAGAAAATGGCTTCCCCTGAAATGATTCAAAAGCCACAAAACACAAATATTTCAAACCATCACAACTCTAAAACACTGTTTCAAAACAAATACATCTGCAGGGGGCAGAGATGATGACACACTAACTGTTTCCATCTGCTGTACTTTGTCCTGTTGATTTTATGGCTGCTGAGTGATGGAGAACAATGCTTGAGGAAGATGGTGTTACAACATTATTCCTTTTGAGCTCGACATGAATTTCTCCTCACGCCCTGCTTAAAGTAAATGGCTAAAGAGAAAATTCACCTGCAACAAATCAGAGCCGTTTAACCTCAAGTTCTGGATGGATCCTGGATTTCTTTTTAAACGGCTAAAAAACACACACTGCAGGGTTTCATGAACTTGATAGTCCATGAGGTTGACAGATTTTATGTGAACCGCTTCTTAGTATGATCTATAACAGACGATATGTTTCAGAAAGCCGAAAGAACATGACGCTTGTATTTGATTTACTGTAAATGTGATTAATGAGACTATTAAATGCCCCTTTACTGTTACTGATGTTAGCTCTCCAACTGCAAAAAAGCCAAAGTGGTCAATTTGAATTTATTTTTTGGGGGTTTCAACAAAAAAAAAATCTTAGGGAACAAAACAGTAACCACATCTTAGTCTGTGAGAAACTGAGACAGACATGTTTCACTGCTTACAGGCATATGTCAGACAAATCTATTAATCAGGTAATTGCTAAAACTATTATTGGAATGAAATGTTGCAAGCTCAAATCATATTAAAACAACTGTTGAATATTTTAACCAAAAAATGCAAGAATGTGGATTGAAGCAGAACAGAACCATCTATCCCCAGTTCACAGACCTTTTTTAAAATCTATGGACCACGTGCATGGAATGAGATTGTACAATACTGAAAATATTTGCCCATTCCTTTCTTTGACAATGCTTAATGAAAAAAAGTCTGCACAATGTAATCAGCTTAGGTAAACCCTTAAGGATTCAGTTGTAACTTGTACGAAGCCTTTAAGGCCATAGGAACGGACCCTTGTGCATCAATGTGTTGCTTGCTGTTTTCTGGAGATGTAACTGTTTTCTTTTTAGCTTATTTTCTTCTTTTTTTTCTGCATTTATGTCCTTTGTTGTTGTTGTTGTGATTCTTTCTTTATTTTTCTTATTATTATATATATTTTTTATTTTCTACCAGCTTTTATGCTGTGAGCTCGACTTCACTGTAAATGAGGGAAACCTCAGTGTCTTTAGAGTTAAAATAAAGGTTTTGAATTTAATTGAAATCATCAGGTGAAACTTGTTTTGCATTTTGCCAATATATATATAATGGGTCCAGAATGAGGACATGATGAACAAATAGGTTTATTGAGCTTTAGAAACGGACTGAAGAGACACATGTTGTTCTTCAGGGGAAACTTTTTTTTAATAGATTTTAAGACCTATAGACACAGAAACCAAAAGAAAACACTGTTCCACAGCGGTTTGAAGAAGAGGACATTGCATTGTTAAGTATATCGGCTTATGACCTCACTCAAAGCCTCAAGCCTTTCAGGGCTTCCTCCACATCAATATGTGCGATCAACATGGCAGATAGCTTGTGACTCGTAATCGTTTTCTGTCACATTTTGAGAAGACAAGATCCACTGTGTTTTTCGGACGCAGCTCTCTTGATCTTCAGACAGTTCATGGGAAGCAAGTTGTATATGATGCAATAACTCTGACATGGTGCATTTTGTCGGACGTAAGCAACAGAGCTGCAGGGCAAACGCGTTGAAGACCATGTGCTGGATATCATGGACATGCTGAAAGCCCTGATGATCACAGGATAAACCCCACAGTGCTAGTCTGGGCTCTAGATATCACGGCAATGATCCATGAGGAATTTGTCTCTAAACATGCTTTTTGTTAAGAACAGAATCACATTTTAAATTGTAATTTGATACCACACAAGCAGAATCAACAATGTGGTTCATCCATATACTAAAGCTTTTTAAACTGTGTGTTTACGTTGTGTCATTACAAAGCTCCTCATGCAGAGCTCAGTAAATGTTTGGAGACCCTCTGGGCTCTGTACTCGCCTTCTTGCATTTGTTTGGTATTCACCATTTGTTGAAATACGAACTTGTTCTTGAGGGAGAAAAAAAAAGACGATTTTGCCTGAGGTCTGTAAGGTTCTGCCAATTACACCAAAGTAATAAAAAAGTTCAGAACTTTAAACCTCATTGGGGCGCGCTGGTGGCGCAGTGGTTAGGGCGCGCGTCCCATGTATTGAGACTCTCGTCTCGAGCAGTAGGCCCGGTTTTGCTTCCACCCGTGGCCCCCTTCCGCATGTCATTCCCCACTCTTTCTCCCTGGTTTCCGACTCTATCCACTGTCCTCTCTCTGCATTAAAGGCACGAAAAGCCCAAAAATAAATCTTTAAAAAAAAAAAACTTTAAACCTCATGATCAAGACTCCAAAGCTTCTCAAAGTGAACATCCAAATCCTCACATCCTCATCTTTCCTATATGAAAACTAATCCAACACTGTGATAATCAACTGGGATTCCACTGACTTCTCAAGAACAGCTAAGAAAATTAACACACCAACAATTTATTAATGTTTAGAGATGTTGTTTCCCTTTGCAATCTTTACAGAAAACATTTTTTAATTCACACGACTAAGCTTTAAAACACAGAATGTTCTGAATGATAAGGAATCATTTTACATTTTGAGGAATAGTCTTAAGACTTGGAAACTTGTTCTCGTTCCTGACTAACATTTTATTACAAGTTAGAAACACTTTCTGTCTGTTAAATATATGACAATAGCAAGCAGCTTGCTAGCCTAGCTTAGCATAAAGAGTGTTGACAGAAGAACACAGCTAGCCCCGTCTCTCCATAGTTAGGAAAGCACAGCTAGAAACAAACACAATAGTTACATCCCAGTTGTTTGTACTGAAGCCAGGTGGGTACGTTTTTAAAAGTGTTAAACAAACAAATGATAACATGGTAATGAGTGAGCTTAAACGGTGCAGTTAGGCAGCAGTTTTAAGATGATTAAGACGTTTTATAAGCTGTTTTTAGTTTATGTGCCCACAGTTGCATGGCTGTAACTCATGATTCTTTTAAATTAGAAGCAATGTTTTTTTTGTGGAAATCCTAGGAATCTTTAAATGAATCCTTTATTCTCAAGAAAAAAAAAAATTCTCAAATCAGTTTGATATTTGTTTTTTTTGCCCTTCAGCGCTTTGCCTCTATAATTCTGCTTTTTTTTCTTGCAAGGCTCGCTTGAACTTAAAATAAAGGAAAATCAAATTAACCACCCTACTAATAACATCAGCAGCATGACAACGCTGCACAGTAGTCTTTAAAAACCCACACAAACACATATATATATACTGTATAAATTTGATGAATATAAATGAAATGGTTACTTTAATATCTTGCAAGTCTGTGTTAGCAACAAGTAGTTTTCATTGATTTGACAAATATAGAAGTTAGTGACATCATGTATCACTTACTTAATTTATACATATTTTATTCATTTACTAGATACAGAATTAGCTTGATTTATTATTAAATTGAAGTCTTTCATACATTTTGGTAAAGATTCCCAGTATGTTTCCAGGTGACACCAAAGTGAGTCAAACTTTATACATATAGATGTAAATCCCAAATCCAAATTTGCCTCAGGGGAATTGCACAGTATTTGTTGAGTACCGTCTCTCCTACCTTTTCTGTTTGTGTTTGCTGAGCATTTTTAAAACACAATTATTTACAGACTGAGACCACTGCTCGAGTAAAACGTGTTTTGGGGGCTGTGACATGGACACTAACAGACCCTGAAGATGGAGTAATAAGTGTGAAATTGTCTTTGAAGGGGCTGTGTGTGTGTGTGTTGCTACTGACGTAAATCAGAGCCTACAGGAAGAACATCAGCCTGGTGTGTTAGTTAACCCAGTGATACCTTTTCCTTCTATTTGATCCAACACTTTAAATCGTTCAGTGACAGGGTACCTGTGTTGCTGTTTAGTCTGATGTTGGTTGTGTCTTTTGTCTGATTTGATCTTTGTTTTTGTTTGCTGCAGAACAGGAACCTGCTGTAAACCAGTTTGAACTGAGTCAGGCCCGTTTAACTATAACCTTTGTTATGTTCCTTTTAATCTTTTCCTGTATAATAAATTAAATTAAATAAAAAAATTAAGTGGAAAAGGGGAATAATGCGAAAAGGGTGATGAGAAGAGGAGGTAAACATGTAGGGGTTTCTGTCTTCTCTGAGGGGACTTACCACTGGCCTTTGTCCTTCTTTTACTTCAGCTGCGATACCCAACACCTTGGCGATATCCTTCAGTGGTACGTAATCTCCTGGTGAATCCTGGACAAAGTGTAGCAGGACCTTTTCTCCACCTTTAAAGAGAGGAATCATTGAGTTATAAACTTGATAACTTTATCCATTTCAATCACAGATTTATTTTTTAATGTTCTTTGGTTAAAAAATCATCAACATTTATTTAAGCTAAAAAAAATCATTGCGGTCTCCGTCATTTACAAAGACGTCAAGATATTAAAATATTAAAGATAATTGACTTTGACTGCTAACTGAGAACTGACAGATTCCTCCAAGAGAAACGTCGTTCTTAAGATCATGTTGTAAAATAAAATATTGAATCAGTATTTGGGGCACAAAAACCTAAAGGCAGATTTAGATCAGGGTGGATACACAGGACTTGAAGCATTAGACAGTCAGTGAAGTGTGTTTGGAAGGGTCCAGTGGTCCAGTTCAGCATGGATTTTATGTAAGATGGTGAATGCCATGTAAGGGATTTATAAATAAAAAGCAACAAGTGTTGATCATGCCTTTGAGCCAGAGAAGACCAGCCAACTTTCTTATACAGGATACAATGATGAGTGCTCTTGGGATCTCCGGTTTTGAGTTATGAAGTGAAACTGAGTCTAGGGATTTAAAGGTGGAAGCAGCAGCATGTCTAACGAGAAATCACCATAATCTAGAACTGAGGGAGCAATTACACTTTTCCAATAATTAACAGGGAAGTTAGTTTGCTGATGAGGATATCAGTATGGTTTTTGAATTTTAATGTTTCATCAAGCCCAATAAAGAGAGGTGTATACATGCATTGGGTTACTTTTTTTGTTTGAAGATAAATACAATTTACATAATGTGAACACTGGCTCCTTTTCAGTAAGGCCCACATTTCAAAGATTTTTTGACTTGAATCAACTTAACTAAGTTTGTTGTTCTGGTTTTTATTGTTCTTCCTACCTGTATTTTAAAATTAGAAAGTTGTTTATGTTCTTTATATTTACATATTGAAAATTATACTAATGTGTACTTTGGAAATAGAAATAGAAATATGCTAAAATGTTGTTTTGTTTTTTGTTGGTGTAAGATTATAACATATATACTTCATATTCCTGTTGTTTTTTTACTGTGGACCCCAGGAAGAATAGCTGAGCTCTCAGGTATACTTATACTCATATTCTAACAAATAAACAAATAACATGTTGATGAATGCTGGTTGGGGACCCCCTGTGAATTTTTGACTAGGGCCCCGAAAGACTCTAGAATCACATTCGCCACTGGTTATAAATATACCTTCTCAAGCCGATTTCCTTCCATAACATACAATATAATCAAACCACACCATACAAGACAGTACCTGCAAACTAACGGAGAGTGAACCTCCCTCACTCTAAGGTTTGGACACACACACACACACACACAAAAACAACTCCGCTTAAAATCTCTTGGATGGGCCAAATGTTGTGCATTTTTACATCTCTTAGATGAGTCTCTGCCTCACCTGCAAGTGCAAATAATATGATACTCGAGGGTCTATGGAAAGCTCTCCTAAAAATGTTGATTGAGTTTTTAGTTCTGTAATTTGGTGTGTTTTGACTTTGTGCATACACATTTCCAAGAAGATGTTTTTTTAGAAAAGATAATAGAGTATGAGTAACAGGAGTCAGAAACACTACAAAATGCTGTCACTTAGTGCACACTTTGTAAAGCTTACTGTGAACTTCAAGCTTCACTTCAGTAATGTGATACAGCAGTGCCCTCTAGAGAATGAACTGCAATCTGCACTTTATTTCCATTCAAATGATCAGACAAATGTCTGCCTTATTAAAGGAGCTATATGTAACTTTTTACATGTATAAATCCTTTTTTATCGCCCATTAATAAGCGAATGGTTAACTGATGTGAAAGAGTTGAAGAGATGTTCACTGTCTGTCTGTGTTGCCTGTATAAAAAGTTTCCCCGGGTCGTATTTTCCGCAAAAGCTCCAGGAAGTGACATTTTATGCACGTTCTCAACGTCCTCCTCACTCTGCTCCGCTTACAGAGATCAACAGAACAAACTCATCACACACTCCTGCTCTCAGGCAGTGCCTGTCGAGGCTGTCGTTTGTAGGATGGAGAATGAATACAGACACACAGACTCCTTCACAGACTTTCACATGTGTATGACCTCTGTAAACATTATGCCGGTAAATATCCAGTGTTTCTCGGCCGATGATGATGCTCGCTTGTGTACGTACGAGCACATATGATGAGCACGTGAGGGAGAGCAAGCAACAGGTTACTGGTGCATTTCGACTAACGGCCATGCGGTATCGCTACAAACGCAGTATTTTTGAAAGTCACATATAGCCCCTTTAATGCCAATGCAAGGTCATTAACATGTTGGACTCCCCCTGGTGTATATATGTTTTAAGCTATTGTTCTTTTCATTCACACATACACTTTCAAAAGAGAGAACCATCCTAATATCATCTTCTATTGTGTGGCGAACGTACCTTTAGCTACAATGAGCATGCCTCCACTCTGGAGCAGATCTCCTGAGAAGTTTCCCTGGATGCCAGCAGCTTTGGCCTGCAAACAGTAAAGGAAACATGAAGTCAGAATTTAGGATGTCAGTGTGCATCTCCCCCTGCTCTTATGACTTATTAAAGCATTAAAAAAAACAAAGAAAAATCATGAAGTTGTCTACCTTTGAAGCCGCTTCTCGCACTCTCTTCCCCATAGCAGCAGGAACCACACTAATGGCTGTGTACCTGGGTTTGAAAAGACACAGTTTCTCAATTAGACATTTATATAACATATAAAGGCAGGTATTTTGGATTTCTTGATTTATTTCAATATGATTCTGCCTCACTTGCTTTAAAATTAATTAAATGAAAACAATTCATCTATTAACAAAAGGGCGGCATATATAGTGCTAAGATTTATTGCGGATTAAGTTCCTTGAAAAATAAATTAATCAACGTATCTTCATTTTAAAGCAAAAAAAGTCATTTGTTTGGATTTACTGGCTCACCTTTTAAAGCCCAAATCCTTGTAGGTTCTCTTTTGTTCGTCAACATAAAGGGCTAGAAGAGAAGGTGATTGTGGATTATTTACATTCTTATAAAAAGACAAGACAATGCCAGTGATGATTTCAGTAAGCATGTCTGATTCGTTCACACCCTGTAGTACTGTTCTGTAGTACACTTTAACTTGTAAAAGGATGACAAAGAACCTTGTGAAAGGTCACAATTGACGGCTGTGCATCAGAGATTATGCACTGTCATTTGTGTTTTATTTCCGATGTAACATAAATTAACTTCTTTCCAAAGTTCACAAAAAAAGAAAATAAAGGTTTCTGATATTATTATTCCAAGACCTGGCTTATTTGACCAGAAGACAGCATCTGAGTTGCACTGTCTCAAATCTATTTTACTGGATTAGTTATTTTGTTTGTTTGTTTTTTTCTGAGACACAGTCCATTAAACACATCACACTTTGGGAAACGCTGGTCTTCTGTTGTTTATAAGCACTTTGGTAATTTTCTGTGATAAAAATAATGAAAAATTACCAATTAAGGCTGTAGAGTAACAATAGGTTTTGTTTATCCGATTAAAGACTTTTGCAAATAAGCCCTGTGTGAAGACTGTTTTCCCTTTATTTGGCTCATTATTGTTAAAGCAGTACATATTGTTCAGTTCAGAGAATTCTGTCAGTGAACTCAAATAAAGGAAAATACCCATAACTGCATTAGATGAGTGAGAGAGAGCTTACATCCTTTGAAAAGCCCTCCTTCCTTAAACTCCTTCAACCCAAACTCTTCAGGTCCAACGCCTACCAGCGCTACACCACTGGCTCTCAACTCCGGCTCCAGTTTGCTGACCTCTGATGCCGTCCACCGACACACCTGACAGCCAAACCTGCGCAGGAAGAACAAGACCACCGGCTGGTCCTGCCACAGAGACTGCAGCTCCACATTCTTCAAAAGGAAACACTCACCATGAGAACATAAGACAGGTAACATATGGGACATGCTTGTAGGTAGACTTGTTCCAAAATGTAAATGTTATCTGTGATCAAATAGTAAAAAACGACAACATTATTATGATATATATTCACATGTATTCCCTTCGGATCGTCCTTATGTCACCCTGGAGACTTCATTTAACAGCACTTAAAGCAAGGCTGTGATGTAATTGCAGGTTAAATAGCCTAGATTGTTTAGCTCTCAGCAGGGAACACACGACTCTGAAGGTGGATGTGTCTACCTCTCAGCAGGTTGTAGTATCAGACCAGAGCAGCTTAAATAACAACCCAAATTCGTACTACACAGATAGGAAAGGTAAAACATATGCATCCAGACTTCTGGGTAAACAGTCACCCAGATGTATTTCTTTAGTTACCTCTCCAGTTTCACCACTCTTCAACAAATTCTTTCCAACTTGGGCGAGGTCGACGTTTGCCATTTTCAGCGACGGAGCTGCACAGACTTTAACCTGTGAAGGTTAAATTCAACGGTATATGTTCTTATACAAATATGATGTTTGAGTAACGCCTGCACTAAAAGTTGCAAAACAAGTACATCCTGATACGCCCATTGAACGCCGGAGAGCATTCAGGTTTTGTTGGTGCTGGAAAATGAGCCAATCACAGCGCCGATATTTTGAACGGAGGCGGGGCTTTGCAAAATAAGGGCCACTTCAAGCACGTGCACCTTACTCATAGACTGTAGTAAATGACCTCACTAAAACAATTGACCATTGTTTTTGATTCAATATTCATGAGTTTATTTTTTTTTTTACTTATACTGCACCTTAAAAATGTCTTCTATAGTTAACAAGAACTCAGGACTGAAGATTAGGAAATATTAAGTTCTGATAAAACTTTACATTGCACAAGAGTTACACAAGTTGTGTAACAGCAGGGCTCAAAGGTAATGCGATTTATTACCATGCTTTTGTTTGCTTTCATAGGTCGCTTTGATTTGCTTCTTATAGGCCAAGCTGTTTGCTTAGTCCAATTTGTCTGTTTTCTGTGAACCCCTGGAAAACCCTCCTTATCCTGTTTGGCAGCAAGGGTTGAAGTGTATCCAACCATTGTACTTTAGTAAAAGAAAAAAATGATACACTATTATTGTATGTAATATAGTACTTTTCAAAACAGAGTTAGTGCTTTACAAATTAAAATAAAATAGAAGAGAAAATAGAAATGTAAGCCATAATAATAGCAATTTCCTGCAGTTTAGATTTAGAAACATTATATGTTTTATCCATCATGTATATAGGATCAATAATATAGCCCATAGGCCTATTGGTGACTGCCCATTTCCATTTGCGTCCATTTCATGAAACTGATATAATTATGTTTCAGAAACACAAAAGCTGTGGATTGTGAAAATGAATAGAAACAGGTTGTTTCCACGACGTTGTATTCAAATTCTTATTAGAATAAAAATATCTGATGAATCTATTTTCTGCAGTTACCTTAAATAAATCTGTTTTTCGTGTGACCAATGTACAGTATATGTAATAAACTTTCTCATATGCCTATAATTGCATACCTGTAGACCTCTACTTGAACATTGTATTAATCTACTGGTAAACGTTTTCACTGGAAAACTGAGCCATCCATATTGGTTTACATTTTTCCTGCTGTGACAAGTCTAAAAGTCTGCTGTGAAAAAAAGATTCAATAGGACCCTCGGTCCATACTGTGCTGTCTCAAACTGCTTATAACCCATGTGCACACCAGTTTTCACTTTCTCTGATTGAGTAAAGGATCTGAATTGACATTATAGGTATATTGCAAAAAACACACATCACCAACATCTTTTAATACAGCAACAAGACACTGGAACCTTACAGTCTCCAGTGTCATCATTTAAATGTCTTCATTTCTTATATGATAGGCTTTTAATTAATCCAACATGTCTTCTTTGGTGGTCAAAGCAAAAAAAAATGTTTACATTGACCAGCTTAGTTAAGGGGCTCTAAAAAGATGTTTGAAAGAGTGTTCGGTGCAGCCACTGACTACGCTTTAAACAATGTTAATAGTCGCTTTACAAACCATTGGCTGACTATTGTCCTCTTAAGTGCATCTCTGACCTCAAGAATACTGTTTTGTATTGGAGTAGAGGATGTACAGTGTATGTAGGTGGGCCTATAGGCAACAGACCGCGGTGCTGATGTTGCAGGGTGGGGCGTGACGTCACGGTAGAGACCGGGAGGAAGAGGCGAAGGGGGGTAGGAGAAGAGGGGGAAGGAGAAGGGACGGAGGAGAGAGCGGGGGGATGACTGCAGGAAAGGAAAAACTAAACAACAATCATGACTCGAGTAATACATTCACCGTTTATATTTATACAAATGAATTATAACACTCGGTCAGTTTACCGTCACAGTTTGCCGAAATAAATGACGAGCATCAGCGATAAGGTAATTATCATATTTCACGTTTCAGTTTGCACGCCTTCATCGCCTTAAGTCGATTGTGTGGTCTTCACCTTGAAAAATCAGAATAAAAATTAAGGGAAAATATCGAAAATAAGCATGATATGTCGAGTAGACTTTTACAAAAGCAATCGATTGTCTATTTGGCTACATAAAGGAGCAAATGTAACGTCTAAATTTGAACGACATTGATACATTGTCCTTGTCAATATCGAAAGCCATCATCACCACCTCCCGAGGCCCCATTGTGTCCGATTTGAGCATCCTCCATAAAAAATTAAAATGGAAACAGCCTTCATGAGAGCGATGCCGCATCCCACACTGCTGTAGTCAGCCACGCCGAGCACATGGGCTTTGCGCACAACACTAACATGCGCATTGGTTGCAGTGCGTCGTGCCCATCACTGCCGATCACTGCAGTGTCCTCTTAGTAACACAACGTAATCATTAAGTTACTCACATGACTACCATGCTTCATTGAGATGATCTCGGAACACTAATTAATATATGAAAAACTCTACCAAGAACAGGTTTAAGCATGTTTCACCCTTTCTTTTTCTGCAGTGTAAGCTGGCTTGAGAGAGATGTCATCTCCGGGTATGGGTACCCCCAGTGACCCCCTTCTCTACAGTTCAGGGGAGGGGTCATCTACATCTCAGGAAAGATCCTGGAGGAACTCACTACCCAAAACTGCTAGCTTCCCAACGTCCAGTATTCGGCACCTCAGTCACCGAGCCAACAACTTTCAGAGACAGCCAAAGCGTCAGAAGCAAATAAGACCTTCACCACCTCCCCCACCAAATACACCCTGTCCCCTGGACCAGCTGGACCTTAGTGAGCTTCCCCCAAGACGCACCTTCGGAGAGTTGCTCTTCAATGGCAGCATACTGTTTGGTATTGAGTTTAGCTATGCCATGGAGACGGCTTATGTTACTCCTGTGCTCCTACAGATGGGCTTGCCTGATCAGTTCTACAGCTTGGTGTGGTTTATAAGTCCTATACTGGGTAAGTGAATCGTATGGTAAGATTTGAGTAGCAATGTTGTGTAAAGGTCTAGCTTCATTGAGTATTAATGTTGACTCCTGTCTTTGGCTTTCAGGATTTCTCGTTCAGCCTCTCATTGGAGCGTGGAGTGATACTTGTACATCCCGGTTTGGGCGAAGGAGACCCTTTATTTTAGCTTTGGCTATAGGTAAGCAATGGATGCTATCAGTTTGTACTTAGATACATTACTTGGTGTAACTTTTTATCTGCCTGTCACTTCCATAGACAATTTAAATAGAATGGCAAACATGATGCAACAAAGATAGCACAAGGCCACAGGGTGACAGCCATGTTGCTATTCAGTACAACAGCACAACCCTTGAGTGTGATATTGCTTTTATACTACAGATCTCATAATAGTAAACTGTAATACGCAACAACAGATCATTATTATTTTTGAATAAATCATTAATTTTGATTTGCCAACGCCAATAGTTCCACAACTTGGCTCGTATCGGCTGAAACATCAGCTGTTGACAAATATAGTGCTATCAACTTATAATGTGGCACCGATGTTAGATGTCAGTCTGATGTGAACTTTGGTGCCAATTCAATATTGGCTAGTTAGCACAACTACGGACTCAGAGAAGAGGTTTTTCTTTGGGCAGAAGAAGTTGCTTGTTGGACAAACTGATTTGTTTTCATTGTGTAATAGGAGAAAAATGTCTGCAGTTTGGAAGTCTTTACACGGTCTGTGAGAAAGATAATCAACATGCAGTTTGTGAGACATGTTCCAGTGACATTTCAAGAGGATGGACTTAAAAAAAAATCATATACACCCAATCAAAAAGCTAATTTAAAAGAAGACAAAAATAATTCCAAAGAGGTCATGAAAAAACATTGTATTGGAATCTGCATTAGGCTAAATTGTAATTATGAATATCTGTATATTTCACAGTCTGTCCATCTCTTGTCAGCACTCATGATTTTCTGTATGTTTTTTTTTAACACTTAGAAGCATGTCTGTTTAACTCCTGTTTTAACATTAGAAAACTCTGCTGCTTATCTCTGAAGGAGCTTTAGTTGGTCTGACCTTGGTGCTGAATGGGCGGGACATTGGAGTTGCGATGGCTGACACAGCATCAAATCACAGGTGGGGCATTTTTCTGACAATTTGTGGTGTGGTACTGATGGACTTCAGTGCTGATTCAGCTGACAACCCAAGCCATGCCTACATGATGGATGTGTGCTGCCCAGAAGACCAAGATCGGGGGCTGAACATACATGCGCTGTTGGCAGGTAAGAGAACAGGTGCGGATCTGAAATTAAGCTTTATGACAGTTTCACTCATTCAGAAAGGCACTTTTGTTTGTTTCACTACAGGATTGGGAGGTGGATTTGGCTATATTGTAGGTGGCATCAACTGGGACCAGACAAAATTTGGACAGTCAGTCGGAGGTCAACTGCGGGTCATATTTATGTTCACGAGTGTCACTTTGGTATTTGCCACAGTCATGACTCTGTTCAGTATCCCTGAAAGGCCCCTACCAATGAGCCACCCAAACAAGAACTCCAGCAAAGCTCATCTAAAAAGCCCCAACCTCCCTCTTCCTCCATCTCCTCCTGTTCCTCCATGTTTTGGACTTGATGATGACGATGAGGAAGGTCTTTACAACTATGATTTCTCAAAGTCATGTAACACTGACCCCATGGGCCATTCTTGCAGTGCCAGTGCACGCCTTTGTGCTGGCCTCACAAGCCCAATATCGCCCCTGAGCCCCCTCACTCCAAAATATGGCAGCTTTATAAGCAGGGACAGCTCGATCAATGGCATCAACGAGTTTGCCTCATCATTAGGAACCTCCTATATAGACAGTGTTCTCATAAACTGCTACACAGGCCCACAAACACCACAGGGCCTAGCCCCCAACTCGACCACTGTTCCCCTGCCTCCAGGTGATTCCCCTCCTCCACACGAGTCTACACAGGGGTCAGGGAGTCATTCTGCAGGACAGACCCTGGCCGATGTGATGTCTCATCAATCAGGGGAAGCTCAAGATCCAGAAGAGCTACTGCCTGAGGGAGATGCACAATCCATTGAAGCATCTCAGGTCACATCTGGAGTTCAATCCTTTTCAGGGTCACATCGGCGCTCTTCTTCTGGTATCCTAAAGCGACCCCAGAGCCTTGCACTGATAGACGATTCCATGGCAAGTCAGCTTGTTGCCTCTGAGGATGGACAGAGGAGAACAGTGACATTCAGCCAGCAGGTTGGACCCTTTTTCAGGAAATTTCTAAATGTGTTTACCAGTATCAACCACAATATGTTTGAACACAATGTCTTTTTTTCCCCCTAATGAAGGTTGCAAACATTCTGCTGAATGGGGTGCGATATGAGAGTGATCTGAGTGAGAGTGTGGAGACAGGAGAATGCCAAATGTCATTAAAGCTTCTGTGTATAGCCATCTACAGGATGCCGCCCTCTCTGCGGAGTTTATGCACAAATCACTTTTTGGGTGAGATTAATCCGTGTGTACATTTGCTCTGCGACAAAAATCTTGCAACACCATTAAAACAGTATTATAATGTATTTGATAGTTAATGATGTGCGTATTGTTACTTTATAGGCTGGCTGTCCTTTGAAGGAATGCTGCTCTTCTACACTGACTTCATGGGGGAAGTTGTGTTTGAAGGAGACCCCAAGGCTCCTCACGACTCTGAGGCTTATGAACGCTACAACGCTGGTGTTAGCATGGGCTGCTGGGGCATGTGCATCTATGCATTTAGTGCTGCTTTCTACTCAGGTACGCTACAATCATAATCACAATGTATTTGAAAATGTTCTGGTCAGGGCAGAGTCATTTCACAAAGAATTTGCCTTCTGAATTTTGGCAAGCTTCTCATCTGTTTCCTTTGTTTCTCTTGGGGTTTCTTCCTCTTCCTCCAGCCATATTGGAGAAACTTGAGGAGCGTTTCTCTCTTCGCACACTGTATTTTTTTGCCTACCTGGCATTTGGTTTGGGGACAGGCCTAACAACACTATCCACCAACCTCTATGTGGTACTTTCTCTGTGTGTCACCTACGGGGTGCTCTTCTCCTCTCTATGCACGCTGCCTTACTCTCTGCTGTGTGAATACTACCAGAGCCCTCAGGTGAGTACCTAGATATGCACGTTTTTATATTTGCAGTCTTGTTTTTTTCTAAATTCTATTTTACCAGGAATAACCCAAATTAATAGAGAAACATTTTGGAAAATTATTTTTTTTTCTTAAAAGTTAGATTAAGAATTGATTCCAAATCCAATGTCTGCACACTAAATTTGAAGCCCCGGCCAACAGCTGGATACCTTTGCCAAGAGACTGGCATAGGTTAACATAATCCACAAAATCCCCACCTCCTAATTCCACTAATTAGCAAGTTATCTCAAGTTTATTCATATTGTAAAGAGAAGTAAAAAAAAAAAAATACTTTGTGGCTTTAAAGGGCTTATATGCCAGACTATTTTACGAGCTTTAGAGGTGTTGAAACAAATATACTTCGAATAGCAGGCAAGTTTTTTCAAAGTTTGTAGTCTTTCTCAAACTCTGTTAGTTGGATTTTCAACAAAAAACATTTATAAAATGATTTCAAATGTAAGTTTTCTAGCGGGTATCCGATTTTGAAGTGTTTTTGCTAGATTAGACAGATGCCTCTGTAATCGAAAACAGTCAGTATAGTTTATATATGAAGCAAACTGGGCATTTACCAAAAATGTTGAAGTATACCTTTACACACAAGACTGTACTTAAGAAGTGGAGGTAGCACTGTGTCTTCATTGATTGGTTTGTAAACTACAATTTTTTTATGCCTTGAGTTTGAGATTTCTGCATACTGACGTCTGGTCACCAGGAAAAATACCCGTAGCTTAAACTCTGTCGTAGTTGACAGGTTTGAGTGATGGCAATACGTCACTCATGGGCTGCACAGCCCTAAAGCAAACCCTGCCTTGTTATTATCTTTACTCTACCATGGTAATCACACTGCATTACCATGTTTTCAACAGCAGCCAATTTCCTCTGACGCCATCCTCAGGTAGGGGAAGCTCACATGCTGTTATAATGTCAAACTGCTGTGATCCAGGCCGTAAATCAAATAAATCAAGAGTATCCGACAAAGTGTTATCATTTCATCAGCAACTGAAAAGAAGGAACAGTGAAAATCTAGTGGGGAAACTGGCCATATTTCATCTGAAAAACAAACCTTCTTAATAATCAATGAGCACAATTACTGTTAAAGTTACCTATCAGCCGCCTAACAAATTATAATACTGTTAGCCAGGAAGTGCCACAAAGCGAATACTGAGGTTAGTAAGTGTTAACACACTGCAATAGAATAGGTATAAATTCCTAGCTAATATAACACTAAAAGATTGAAACTTACTTCAAAGCTAACGTAGAGTATGAAGTGATTAAATGCTAACGTTAGGTATTGCCTTTTTGTATCTTATTGGTAATCAACTGTGTTGTTTTAACTTCAAATATGCCCAGATTTCCCTCTAGATTCTCAATGTTGTGTGAAAATGTTCTCCTAGGTGCAAATGCTTGGCTAACATTAGATTCAAATGTTAAATTTTACTTCACAGCTTACATAATGTAAGATACAAAGATGTTGGATGCTAATGTTAGCAGCTGTCTAATGTGTTGGTTTAACTTTTCACTGTTCATTTTCTTTAAGTTCGAGCATTAGTAAAGAAGATATTAATGAGATATTAATGATTCTCAGCTTCTACATTTTCAAGACTCACAAACTGGAACACAGCAGAATAACGTTATCACAGAATCTGAGTTCCTCACCCTGAGTATACATCCGAAGAAAATTGCTGCCATGTGACATGAAGATAACTTGAAACTTGCTATTGAGACCATAAAGTTATTAGAAAAATGTGTACTGAGGCGATAAATCAGCTGAGAAAAAAAAGAGTAATTCTGTCATCATGCACTGAATTATTTTTGCAAACACAGTTCCCTCTCCTTGCTCTTAAAACGAATGCAGGTTTAAGACATTTTGCATTGTCATCATCTTAAACCAAGAGGCTACATCCACTTCTTATATATAAGGTGTATGTATTTTCATACATTAAACAAATAACTGATTCATCTGATTATTTTTCTCAGTTTTGTGGCTCATCAGAGGAAGGGACCAAACGAGGGATGGGGGTGGACATCTCTCTGCTTAGCTGCCAGTACTTCCTGGCTCAGATCCTGGTCTCTGTGGCGATGGGACCTCTGACCTCACTGGTGGGTGGGGCCCAGGGAGTGATGTACTTTTCAAGCCTGATGTCATTCGTTGGCTGCGTGTACTCCTCTCTCTGCGTGGTGTACCATCTGCCCCCCCCTGAGGGTGAGCACCCCGAAAGCGAGACCCAGCCACTATTAGTGAACACTTAGAGTAGCCTATGAACTTAGCTAACCTCCCGTACACATACTATAACAGCAAACACGCTATCACGCTGTTGCTTAGTGTCTGAGTGTGTTGCCCTTTAAAACATACAGGACAAATACACTGTACAGCACAATGACACATATTGTGTTACACTTTTCCTCACTGTTTTCCTCAGAGCTAGACAGACAGACAGACAGACATTGGCCACCAATCAAATATGTGTATACCAGTGTGTTCATACAGTGTGTGTGTGAGAGTGCGCGTGTCACCCATGCATTTTTCCTTAGCGAATGTGTGTGAAGTTTTGAATGAACAGGCTGTGACAAATGGATTTGTGTGTGTGATACTCTGTCTGACCTATTTGAGTATAGGTACGCCTCAGCCATTCTTATGTCCAATCCTTTGCTTCTTTTCTTGCTTGTTGATGTCTAGTTTAGAAATGTTGATCTCTGTGTGCAGGCTAACCACAGCTTTCCCTCTCTTTTTCTTCCTTTTGTCAGTTGCCTAACGTCTGCATGAGCTGCAATGTAATCTCTCAAAAGCCTTGTGTTAATGTTTTGTTTCGGTCTAATGGCCAAGGGAATGTCTACCTGCCTGTTTCTCTGAGCTAGCATAGTAGCATCACACCTTAGGTGGGATTTTTCTGACTAGACGAATGTGCTACCACTGACCTCACACACTGACTCACTCCATTTACTGAAGAGCTCTTCTGACATAATTTAGCAGACACCTACTTCATATTCACATTAAGCAGAATAAAGCTTAATCACACTTACAATCTTGAAGGGCTTCATATTGCTCACATTTTTTTAAGCTTATAGAATACACACTCTCCAGACAGTCCATTAATTATAAGACTGTCCTGCTATCCCCGTTTATCTCAGTTTGGTGCTTGGGGAATCTTAAGTATGGGAAAAATGCAAACTAAGCAAGTAATTAGCATAGATCTAGTTCTACTTTACACATGCTTGTACACACCATGCACACCAACACTGGCTAACTTAAAAAACAAAACAAAAAGTTATACTGGCCACTTATTGCGTCTGGTCCCTCATTAAGCCACGGACAGCTGTGAGCTGTCATCCTACTCCTGGCCATGCGATTGTAATAATGACAGTGATTCTTGTCATTATCAGGAAGAGGAGAAGTTGAAACTGGGGTGTGAATCAGCATTCAGTCGGAAACCGAACAAAACAGAAGAACAGCAAACAGGGAGAAGACTCATGTGAACTGTGGGTAACCCTGGGGGTGGACAACACTGACAGAAAAGACTGGGGGTTCATAGAGCCAGCAGGGAGTGCTGATTTTGATCTTTAGGGCGCATGCTTAAAGAAGTAGGCTTTGCCTCCACCATGCTCTCAGCCCATCAAGTCAATATAGTGATGACCTTACATTTGTTAGCCAAGTTGCTCACAGGGCATTCAAAACTGATTAATTTTCCATCCTGAAGAAGCCATTTTCATCAGCAGAACAGTACATGTGATATATGTTTTAAATCGGTTGTCTCATGGCAAACAGCATACTTTATCTGTTTGCCTTCATTACAGGCCAACGTCCTGACTTCTGGGCCTGAACATGAGGTTAATTTCCGTACATATTGTTTGATGGTTTCATTGACTAGCCAACAAAGTGAATATCCAACATTACAGAGGCGGTTTTAATTGCTGCCTCAGCAGAATGTCAATATCACCTACTGTTAAAGCATCCTGAACTGACCTGAGCATGCCATGCTAATGTTTCTGAGGAAACATGTATTGTATGGATCATGCTTTTGCAGCTTGCTTCAGATAAAACAGATTGGTTTGTGTTGTTTCCACCTATTGCTCAATTTCAGCAGTGTGACTGTAAAAGCTACTTTTATTCAGGGTTCCGTTCAACTAAAATGATAATTTTGCCATTTTGGACTCCTGTGTCAATCATTCTTTTTTCCCTTTTTTTTATACTAATAACCATTTAAGACTCCTCTAGTTGCCACCCAAGTTGACTTGAGCAAAAGGAAAAGGCAATATTCAAATTCACCACAGGAGGGAGCTAGGAGACAAGCATTAATTGATTCGGTTCACTTTTCCATTACTAAATGAATAAGATTGTTCCTGTTCCTTCCTGCATCTCAGCTAGCCATTTTCCATGTCAAGAAAAATGGGGTAAACTGACATCATCTGCTTATTAAAACATGGTTTTAGAAGGCAGTAATGATATGATACACAAAAAAGATGTACTTAAGTAAAAAGACAATTTATTTTTTTTAGTCAGAATATACAAAGCAGTGGCTGAAGTAACCGAATGTCATTCTGTTTCTGAAAAAGGCAGTTTTGGACACAAAACTGGGCTACCCAGCCATAACATGAAACTCATTGAAAACATAAGAAAAACAAAGTATAAATGGTACAAACTTGCGTGGAATGCATACAGAACAAATGACCAAAGCTTTAAGATTTAAGAGGGGTTAATTAACGTGGCAAAATACAGCTTCCATTAAAGATCAAGTTATCTTGTCATGGAGGCTGAAGACAGAGCCCCTTTATTCATTTGCACCATCTGTTATGTTAACAGGGCAGGCAAGCCAAGGATTAAGTAGCAGCTTAACACAAATCATTTTTGCCCAACTAATAATGCTAGCAACTGTCCATTAGCCCCTGCTTAAAACTTATCTTTGGTCCTTAAGTGAATCTGAGAGGTCAACATGAGCCTTGAAGGGAGTGAGCAGCTGCCCGTATGAATGAATCATCTGGTCAGCACTGACAATAGAGATTGTGCTTTGAACATACTGATATAAAACCTCAAGAACTGAAAATCAAACTGATCTCATGATGTGGCCCTCTTGTACAAATAAAAAAAAGCTCATTTTAAAGACCAATAAATAACATTTCATAAAAAAAGGATGCAGGCCACTCTGTTTCAGGACTCCAGTGCAATGTGATAACATGGGAGCAAACAAAAAGAAAGATTTTCTCAAAAGGTACAGAAAGCACAAGCTCTATAACAAGATGTTGACCAGGCTGGTTGGACAGTGCTGCAAACAGGTAGCAAGGCAGAGACTTAAGCTTCCACCTTCGCCTCTTTTGAATCTCCATTTTTCTCTGTCTTCTGCTTTTTTGTCTCAACCTTCTCCTATTAAAAAAAAAAAAAAAGGGACATATTTCAAGGGTTAGCTTATATGTAATTTCAGGTGGGTCAACAAATTCAAAACAGTTGATAATGGTTGTGCATCTTGCCCTGGTGACAACTTACCTCCTCCTCTTCAGCTGCACGCTTCACTGGCTGTGCATCAGTCTCCTCAGCAGGGGGCGCCTCCTCCTCCTCCTCCTCCTCTGCATTCTCTGCAAGAACAGTTTGTCACTTCAGATGAAACATAGTTTCATTTTGGTGTAGATAGGTAGTATTTTAAATTAAGGGCCACTCATGAAATAGCATCAGTTTCACAAAGTACGGTAGTTGCCCTTTTTCTAACAACACTGCTGTATGTGCACATACCATCTCCATTCTTGTGTTTCTCTTCTCCATTTTTCTCTACTTTGTCACTGTGATCAGCACCATTCTGTTAGAAGAGAGGGAAATGTTAGTCTAATAACACACCATATTCAGTAATTGTTAATTTATTTTAAAAAAAAGCAATGGACAATGTTGCAAAAGAAGTTAGAAAAAAGCAAACAAAAACAAATATGAAATCCCAAGCATATTTCACATAATCCTCCCACAGTCTTGCATGTTTAGACTCCTCAGGGGATGATAAAAAAAAAAAAAAAAGGCATGTGAATGAAGCCATCACTATTCCCAAGAGGATTAGCTACCACGCTAAACAAGAGAACGAATGGAGACGTCCTCAGACTTGCTTACTAACATCTGTGCCATTTCACAACCCAAACAAAGCGCTGTGTGGAGAGCAGCTGAACAGGAGGGGGAGGCAGGCGCAGCGACACCTGCATGATGAGGGGTGTTAAGACAAAAGGCCATGAGACTGGTCCTCGTCTGCAACTCACTGTGCCATTGGCAGGTGCGTCCCCGTTGTCGGTCTTTTTCTCCTTCTCCTTCTCCTTTTCCTTCTCCTTCTCCTCCACTTCTACTTCTTTCTTCTCTTTCAGCTCCTACAAAATAAAAGCCCGAGTGACTCAATCAGCCAACAGTTTATTCTGAAGTGGCACACGCTCCTTTCACGTCTGGTTTTGATTGAAAGAGAATAGTTTCCCATGGCTCTGATAAAGTCAAATCAAAGGTAGTCGATGTAAATAACTCATTGGAAGCAACATTGAACCTTTTTTTTCTTTTCTTTTTTTTTAAACAAAACGTCAATGTAACGTGAAAGCTGCTGTGGATTCCCGCCCACAGCAGCTTTCACCAGCTGTACCGCTTTGTCTGCTCAACAACACTTTTTAAAATCATACTTTAGCCAAATCACATCCATTTTTATTTTTTTTACATTTTCCAGACAATATATCAGGACGACGACGCTGGAAATAAAATAATTAGTCACCTCTGTGGTATTTGGTTGTCGAAAAAATGATATTTAAACATATTGTAAATGTCTCTGCCATTTATCTGAACTACTATTTCAACTGAAGTATAGTTATCACTAAGGTTGGAATTAAAAATGAAGGTTAAGATAACTCAATGAACACGAACAGTGCAACTTATAAAAGAAAAGTAGTTACCAAAATCTTTTCACTCGACTATTTAACCGAAGACAATTTGAATGAAACCCACCTTGGCTGTAACCTCTGCAGGTGCGGTCTTGTCAACAGCGGTGTCGGCCATGGTTTATTTAGGTGAGTTAAAGTATAAATTATATTCCCTTTCAGAAAAAGATTTTATTTCTTGGCTCTTTGCCTCCGTGTGGATAGTCCAAAGAGACGCTGAAAGAGAAATGATGTCCACTCTTCTCCGCTTTTCTCTCGAGCTCGGTGAAACTCTACTCTCGTTGGATACAGCGGATCAAAGCCATACCGGATTGGACCATGTCGACCACCGGGGGTTTCCATTGGAGGAATATCCTGTCAATCATCACAAGACATCCCGCCTACTGTCTAACTCTTCTTTGATTGGTCGATTGTTTTAAAGCGCTGTAGACGCCAGAGTTTTCTTTTCTACTACCCATCAGTTTTGTGTTTGATTTGTCACCTAAAATGTGAACAATAGATTTAAGAGGCCCACTGTTGAAGTTTTTACAATTCACTAGAGTACAATGAAAAATAATTGTTTAAGTATTTGTGTTGTAAAAGTTAAAAACTGTGCACCCAGACGGTATCTTTTGTCTTAGCGCCTATACTCCGGAGTGATGGTGGTGTCAAATTACATGCAAAAAGAAAAAAAATGTGACGATGTGAAAACCATGCAGCCACTCCTCCTTTCTATATTTAACACTTGTAACGAAATGGGTTCCTGCTTTGGTGAGCTTACCCTTTCAAGTTCTTCAGACTCCACACAAAAGGAGGCAAACCATTAACAGCACTATTTTGATATTAAACACACAGATCTATGCATTTAATTAAACTATTTTGAACAAATCTATATCTGAACACACAAAAGCTTTAAATCAGTTTTACAAATTGAAAATATATTGATATTTGTGTAACTGATTTACGCCTACATTATTTGGTTTAAGGTATACAAAGTGAAAATTTCAATAACTAAGTTATATATTACTTGCTGTGTTATAATATTTGTTGGAGAACAGGAAAACAAGCGGTCTCTTTCTTTATATTTGATCTCCACACAGCAGAAACTTAGAAATCAATGTGTTGCTTTGAGAGTTATGAGTCAATGAAAGTAATGGGGTGTACATCTACTGTACTGTGTGAAACCCTGTACAGCATTCAATTACAGCTGTTGTTAAAGGTTAAACAGATTTTTAATTTCCTATAAAATACATTTTCCAAGGCGGATCAAAAGCTGGACTGAGATGGAGTTTAAATTGCCCTGCAAAAAAGTAACCATGCTAAAAAAAAATAATGCATGCAACAGCAATACATTCAAAAGTGTCTGGTGGTATTTGCCACATTTTGCCACCTCAACAACAGTATTGTTAATTGATACTCCAAGTGTAACTGTATAATGGTTTAAATGTCATATGCCTCCAAAAGTGACCGTATTTCCTGTCATTTGGGAGCCTTTTGGTCTTGTTAAAAGAGGGTTGTGTGATATGCCAAACTGGCTGTCTTTTTTCTGCTCCTGCAGAAGTTCTTTCAGGTGAACTTTTTTTTGCATCCTTCCACTTTCTTATCCAACTGTGAAACCAAAAGACGTGGTAAGAAACAGTGTTGTGTGCTCTGCATTAACCTAAGGCCTATGATCAGTGCCTCACTGTTTGTTAAGAACATTCCAAAATATTGATTATATTATGGGTAAACTACTTGTTTATTGCTACGCATAAAAAACATCTAACCCTTAAACAACCTAATATGCCACACCTGTTATTGTTCCCGCCGGCACATAGCTGTAACTCATTTTCAAACAACATTTACCTGCAGTTATAAACTGTCAAAGCAGCTGAGTAACTTCCACTTGCTTACAACACACATTTGCATATACTTTACATACTATGACACCGCTTTGACCTGGATTTCAAATGCTCTTTAGAGTCTTAATAATGTTTGTGCCCTGAACTTGCCTGAACACCCATAGAAGATATCTAGACATGAGGTATTTCTTCATCCTCTAATTTTAGGGCGTCCTGGGAGTTAATCCCAAACCGCCTCAGTTATCTTCTCCCTACCATGCCTGTGTATTCAAGGCAAAGATTTGAAGAAGCCTACAGGCACTATTTCCTCATTCAACTCACATTCAGCTGAAATATAATTATAAAGACTGTAATTACATGCAGAGATCAAAGGGCTGTGTGCCAGTGTGCTAACTGGTTATTTTGTGATTTATTTTCTGTCCCATACAAGGGTGTTTTTCATTTAAGCTAAGACTGTTGTTGCACCATTACCTTGTATAGAGCCTATCAGAATATTCCAAAGCTTCTGTTGTCACATGACAGCAGTTAAAACAGCAGTTTATCTTTATGTTTTGTGGTAAAAGTAATTCAAAAAGGCAACAATGAGGAACATTTTGCTATTGCATAAAGTGTGGTACCATTTAATAAATAGAGGAGAAGACCATGTGGAGCCTGCCCTGCAGGGCATTGAAGCAGACATCCACAAAGCTGTGTTATGTTGTCAGTGTGTGTGTAACCTATTCCAGGGGTGGAACAGAAGAGCATAAAGAGCAGCAGAAAGCATTACTCACTCTGTTTCTTTAACTGGAAAATGGGAGCAATCGGAGAGGAGGGGGAGTGTTTGTGATATCATTTCCTGTCTTTTTTTCCCCTTACTTACCGACCTCAACATGTTTCCATGCGCCACCAATCTGTTACAAAGAAAGAAAACTATATGCATGGACTGCCTGTTCATTCTGCAGGTAGCAAAGTAAGTAGGGCAGTCAGGGGAAAGTTGAAACAGGGATAGAGTTTGTGTAGGGATCTTTTTTGAATAAAATCTCTTAGATGCCAACAACTGGAGTGTTTACCACACTTTCCACATGTATAAAGTGGAAAACATTTGTTATACTTTATACTAAGTTTTAGGGCCACAGAAAGCATTACCGTTTAAAAGAAAAGCCTCTTTGTGTTTAAAAGTTAATTAAATATTTGCATCAGCAATAGCCTAGGGGACAACATTTCCTCAAACTTCTCAGCTCAGAGGGTATAGGATAGGAAGTAAAGCACCTTAATTGCACCTTAATTTCATGAGGACAAAGGACTGACCTGACTTGAGGAATGTCAGGGCTGGAGGTGGGGCGGGGGAGAGCAAAGTGGGGCCCAAAGAGCAGAGGTCAGGATTAGGCGGGGGGAAGGGTCCCGATAATTGGAGGAATCGATGGGAGCAAACTTAGCTCTTTTGTTTTGAACAGCAGTGTCCTACATGCTCCACCTGGCTTTCTCTGCTGCTCAGACAAATCCTGCAGAGGAAAAGGACAACAGTAAGTTGACTTCTCACTGAGATTCTACAGTCGAATGAACAGTGAGGGCGAAAGTGCAATCATATTATTGATTTTTAATTAACACAATTAAGGGAAGTCATTATTGACAACAATGAAAGCACTCCACAGCCACTCCAGACGCTTATGTTTTCGTGAAACATCAATCAATCTTGCCTTGAAAGATTTCTGTCTTTATTTACAAGATCAGCATTATTTTTTCCCTTAAATATGTCAATCTGCATTATGATACAAATATAGCCTTATAAGCAGGGGTGTGTCCACACTTTTTTTGACTGGCGTGGCCCACCTGGGGCACTGACTTATGCTAGAGTGGAATGAAATTTGACACAATTTTAATACATTTTTCGTGTACCCTTTCTATCCCAAAAAAAAAAATATTGCAATTGATTGCAGCTTGGAAGTAACAGAATTTGGCAAAATATAATCTTTGATTCTTTAGGGACTCAAAAACAAATGTGTGCAAAGTCACAAATTAAAGTACTTAGAAAATTGAATGTCAACTCTTGTTCGCTTGGCAAGTTCATTGCATGTTTGACAGTGTTTTGCTTGGTAATTCTTATGGACAGAGCAAAGTATGCAAAGAATTTATTTACAACTGAAATAAAGTTAATACATTCACACATGAAGCAAACTAACAGCAGCCTGTTGCAAACAGCCAGAATACTGGATTTTAAAAAGTTTTCTTTCTGCTGACCGTCATGGCAACTCAGCTGCACACTGATGACGCTAATGACCCTGTGTTGACTTGCCTCGCAGCCTACGATTCACAGGTACCTCATTGTACAGTGTGCATGCATGTCGTACCCAACATTATGAGATCCTTGTCAAACAGTGTGGCTTGCAATAACCTTATAAGAATACAAAAATCCCACAGTCTTAATAGGAGTCTGTGTTTATACACACAGGTATAAAACATAATAAATGACATTGATTTACAATCACAAAAGTGATAAAAGAAACAAATTCTGTGAGTTAAAGGTAGTCAGTGTACGGATTTTAGGACGGGAGTAATCTGGGGAATGTTGGTTCTTGTAATTTGGGGTTTTGGGTTGACTCGGCTGTTTCTGGCTTTGTTTCGGATGTGCAGGAGATAACTGCTGCTGGGTGTAGGGACGACTCATTAAATGGTGTTTTATCTCATCCAGGTGAGTGGAAAGGAGAACTAGTTGTTCAGTCATTTTAGGGACTGATGGTGGATGAATGTGGGAGGCATTGATTATAAGATGGATGAGAATAAAGAGATCTACTGCAGTCAAGTAGCCGTTTCAGAAGCTGCACTCTAAACTGGGCCTTTTGGCTGGGCATGTATACATTCACCTGAAGGTGATGGAAAAAAAACCCAGAGCAAAGTTGGGGCTGCAAGGACTGTAACTCCCAGCTGGTATAGCAGCTCATGTTGGAGGTGTTGAAGGAAACTGCTGAGAAAGAAAGGTCACCTTGGATACTGACTGGGTTGCCACAGCGACTTTGACTCGTTACTGAATGGATGGACACATGGATATCACATAATCCAGCTATACAAAATGTAACACTTGTGGACGCTGACATGGCTTAAGACTCAGTGAATGTTTAGATGTAATCAAATGCAAACTGTATGCATAGAAGTATTCAGGTTTGTATTAACTGTTACACAGCAATAGCTCAAAACCATTTGTTGGATCCTTGATTCAAAACAGTGTCTAACTGTGAGTGGAAGTGGAAAACATATTCTATATCAAGAAATATGATCCTACTATCAAGAAATACTACAATAAATTAAACACATATTTTGACCATATGAAATCCCAACCCCTCTTCTCTTCCCATCTATGTCAAGTATCTGCTTGTCTTTCTAGCATTAGTTCTGTTTGATAATAAAAGTGAAAACAAATAATGCTGTTTTTTACAGCCACATAAACACACAGGAACTGGGAAAAGGTTTGTGTTCGCTATATGATTTTACAAGATGTCGTTCAGAAAATCATATACGTACAAGAAGTATAGGTAGAAGTATTACTCTGTCTTTGTCAATGTATAGCACTGTAAGTGTGCATTTTGGAATAGACATGGTACATGACTGAAATACAAGGGTCAGTGATAAATTGGTAATAGGCCAAAAACAATGTATGGAATTTTTTTATGGTAAGTCAAACATAAAAGTGTTCTCTGAGACTTTTTTTTAGACCTAATAATTAACAAAAAGTTAAGCCTCTGCAATGCACAGGTAGGGTGTCAGCTGTACTACCTACATACACTTCACCTCTTGGCGCCACCCTTGTTTCTGCTTTGCCAGAGAAAAGTGGAAATTTCCATTAATCCCTACTCCTATGCGAGAAGTGCTCCTCCTCCTTCTAGTTTCCCGCCTTTCACTCTACCTGCTCTCTCTTTCTCTCTGTCTCTGCTGCTGCTGCTGCTGCTGCTGCTGCAGAAAACAGTCCTTAAGACCTCATGGCCCTCTGCTGTTGAATTTTGTGTTTCTGCGGAATATTTTTACATATTTAAATTAGAAGGCATGCAGATATGTGCATGGCATCAATATTAGACAATTAATCCATGTATAATGTCCCTGGACTAGAATCTTTGTTTTTGTTAAAGCTTGAGGTGTTTAATCTCTGCTTCATTTGGAGCACAGTCAGATTATTAATTAAAAGAACAATTTTCAAATTGAATTTGAAAAAATCTTCATACTGCTCTACCAGTTGTTTCTTTGTTTTTCGCTTTGAAAGCTCAAAATCCACATTAAGGGTTAAGCTATGTGTAGCTATTACATGAGCTCCTGAATGATGAACAAGCGTTGGTTTGGGATCACAGAGCAGATGGTGGATTTGCATTTCTATTTATTTGGCTGATCTGATATTCTGGTGTGGGGTTGGTTTCGGAGATATCAAAGCTGTTCTACAACTGACACATCAGAGAATTAAAAAAAATAACAAGTGAAAGAGCTTATTGAGATTATAAAGAAGGCTTAGGTGTGGCTCAGATATAAAAACAATATGATATCAGTTATCATGTTTACAGCCTTAGATGTCCAGACTATCTCTCCGCTGCATCTGTGGTTTTATAACTTCCTTTAATTTAAGAGCACAATATAACCATGTGCACATGAGCAGCCCTCATGCTAGATAGACAAGTACAAATAAAGCCACAAGACAGCTGGAGAGGAGAAGTTTGAGTGTGCGTGAGGCACACTGACCTTAGACTCATTGTGAAGCACCAACAAAGAGCCATCTGCACAGCAACCACAGCTGAGATGAGGGACTAACATACAGGGGGGGCCAAGGGGGGAGGGACACAGGGGCCTGGAGAGTGTTAAAAAAGTCAATAAATATATGATAAAGAAAAATGTAAATGGTACTTTGTCGACTGGATCATGTCTGACACACTGGAGCAGTTAGTGGGAATATCTCAGAGGTCTGTGCACAAAGAAAACAAGAAGTTGTGCTATATGTGGATCCAGTGCTGGTTAAGTGGAAGACAAGAGCTGCAGGCCTAATCACTCCAGAGCACATTTCCTGCCTCCTGCATAGGGAGATGAAGCTAACCGGAGCTGTTCAAGGCTAATGTTTAACTCTGGATCTCAAACATGGCGGGTAACATTCAGCCAGTAAAAACATGTATGATCTGTTTCTTCATTGATCTGAACTGTATTCATAATCTGGTTTTATAGGTTAAAGTGAATGGGTGAAAACAAATTCTTTTTTACTTTCCACAAGCAATATGGTGCATTCCAATATGGTGAAAACAAAGACAAAATGGTGTCAGGGACATCTGTAAAAATCACAAATGTTTCACAGGTAAGAAGTGAGAGTCAGGATTGCTTAGCAACAGCCGCTAAAAAAAAATTCTTGCAGCCTTGTGTGGTAACAGAGGAACAGCTCCTGCTGCCACCATGTGGTGGACTGCGAGAACAAAATAGAGATTAAACCAAGCAATGAAAATAATTAAAGGTTCTAAAGCACGTGTGTGCTGCAAGATTAATTATCCAGAGTAAGCTACAAGGTGTAAACCCTGATATAAAGAGGGACTAAATCATAATCTTTTTGGTCTCAACCCTGTTTGAAAAAATGTCTAGTAATTTGATTGGATGCAAAATGCACCAGCTCTCATGGCAGGCGGTTGCTTAGCAACACTCATGGGAGGGAAAGTTGGATGTGGGTGGGAGGGTATGAGTGTCGGGGGAGGTAGGGCACCTCGTCAAGGGGATGGAGCATTCTGGATGCAGGCACACTGAATGGGGAAATACCTGGCACCATTCCCAAATAAACAAACAAGAAAGACAGAGACAGAGGGAGAGAGAGAAAGAGAGAGAGAGAGGGGGGGGGAGTATTTTCCAGATAACAGACTTGTGTTGAGATAAAGGGAGCAAGGCGAACAAGTGCGAACACAGTTTTCCCCAAAGCAGAACCAGACAGCAGACAGGAAGCATGAGATAATTTCAGTGGGAAAGTCTACAGGACTTTTGCAACACGTGCTTGTAACTAACTTGTAATCAACTCTTGCATTAGTTTTTTGGGGGGGCAACTGAACTTAAACTTAATGAAAATGATCAAAGACATGACCTTCATTGTGGGAATTATAAAGGCCTAACTGTTTGATGAGGGACAGACTAAAAGGCGTCAAACAAACATGTGCTTTCAATAAGAGAAGAAGAAGTAGAAGAACTACCTGTGCCTGAATGTTTCTGCTTGGGAAGCTGGCTTGGTGTTTCCAAGCAACTGTTTGTATTATTTACTTTTTGATTAAGAGATAAGCTAAATGACAATACTGAAAGAGATTATGAAGCATAAAGCGAAAGGTGGACTTGGAATTGAGGAAGCTGTTGAGCAAAAGGAGGGGGAAATGGCCTTATATGGAGAGGAGGGGTAAATAAGAACCAGGTTGGAAGGGTAGGTGCAGCCAGCAGAAAGAGGTGGGCCTTGGATATGGCTGATGCGGGCGGTCTCTGCAGGCAATGAGGACTCTTTGTCAAGAGTAGGAAATGAGGTTTGTGTTGTGATTAAAAGGAGGGTTACTATGGCAATGCAGAGAGCCGTGTGCACAGAGAATTTGTCAGGAGTGGAGGGGGCTAAGTGAGAGTAGAATTTCAAAGAAAGTAGCCTCCTCCATCTCATCTCCCTCCACTGCCACCCCTTTGCATTTCCACAGCGCCCTTTTATCTCGGATAATCTGTTTTCATTGCCGCACAGTTGAGACTGCAGAGGGGATTATCCTGAGCAGAGTGATCCGCTGGTCGATCACTCGTAAATGTTTACAGAGTAGCAGTTTTATTTGGCTTCCTGAAATTGCGGCTGTCAGAACCTTTACAAGCCAGGCTTATTAAAATAACACACCTCAAGCTGCATAATTACCATAATGACCTAAATGTGTCTCTTTCTTGTCAAGACAGGTACACTCGGTTAAATCAGCCCTTTTTCTTGTAGGCTACAACTCAAGACTAAAAAAAAAAAATAATGATGGCATCAGTGTGACCTTTAAAGCCTAAATATAGAAACACCCTTTTTTCATTGTTTCACTGAGTAAAAATATGTTTCTTAAAATAAGTTCCCCTCCCTCAAGTTCTCCTTTGTGCAGAGGAAGCTACTCTAGCATTGTCTGCCATCTTACCCTGACACAAGCTCACTCCAGGATGTTGATTTAAAAATAAGTTTGTATCCCTATAATTTATAAGCTACAGAAGCTGCTGTAGTAACTTGTGCATGCTGATATAATATGGTGATGTGCATCAATGCAATAGTATGAAAAAGGAAACAGATTGACTGTCATGATTTACTCCTGTTTAGTTTGCTTTGCCTGGTTTTGTTGTGAATTGTTACTGTTATGTTCTTGAGTTATCTGTCTTAATTGTTTCCTGTTTTATTTTGTAGTTTTTTCCCCCAGTGTTTCTTGTCTTGTTTTACTTCCTCCCTTTGTCTGTTTTTCCCTCTGCTTTGATTGCCCCAATTAGTTTCACCTGTGTCTTGTTTCTCACACCTGGTTTTGATTTGCTCCTGTGTATTTAGTTTCTGTGTAGCTTCCCTCTGCTTTCAGTTCATACATCTTTACCTTCCAGAGTTTCCAGTGCTTTCTTCTGGCTCTTTTCTTTCTCCTCATGGAGTTTTAAGTTGTACTTTGTACTTTTGAGAAAGTAAGTAATTTTCTTTCATTTTACTCTTTTGTTTAAATAAAGCATTTTTCTGTTGGTTTTGCAGTTTGGTCCTTCCTGTTTTTTGTTCTCTAACTGTGACATGGGTTTACATGAGGAGCACAAGAAAAGAGACGTATTTTGACGGGTCATTTAGAGCAGTGGTGGGCAGGGACCCAAAATTAAGTCTAGGAGTTGCGAAAGTCTAAAAAAAAAACACTTTTGAAACATGTTTGTTTGGTTTCCTGTCTTGTGTTCTGTCATATGGTCCAAAGAACTGCAACATTTTTCTTCAAACAAATCTCATTGGTTGAAAAATAGCCAAACTTTGGGTCTCATTTTTTTATTGTGGTGGGTCCTGAGGCAAGACCAGTTTTTAACCACTGATTTAGAGGATAGTTCGTATGAATACAAATGTTGTGACAATTAATCTTAAAGTGCATTTGATTCAAAACTACATCTTTAAAAAAAAACAAAAAAAAAACACCAACAACAATTAGCCAAACATCTGAGGTTACAGTAAAACACTAAAGCACCTCCTTTTTTTTTTTTTGGAACACAGAATCAAGGACTCGGCATGCCAATTACGATTACAAAAGGTTCTGCTGCCCCCAACCTTTCCTTTTAGAGCATAGCAGCAAGTATCATGTGAAGAAGTGCTGGCAGCGAGGGGCGGCTGTACTCGGAGCAGATTGTAGAGTCAAAGCCAGATGGCAAGTGACACTTCAAAAGGACAGCTGGTTACTGGAGTCTGAGAAAAGCATTTTATAGCTCTAAATCAAATTAGTTCAAACTAAAGTAATGAAACATGTTATACACAGGGCAGGCCAATGATTCTTTGTTAAAGTTGACATTAAAACATTTTAATGAATCATATGTTTAAGCTGGAACAATTTAAAAATGACTGATCAACATGGTTGCTGTCATAGCCTCAATATTATGATGTAAACAGGTCCTTCAGCTGCAGATGAGTATTCAGTGTGAGTATGAACTACACCAGGTTCAGGTGAATTTTCTGCAACAGTGGGTCTTCGAGGGAGCCTCAAATCTTTGAGGCTTTAGTTGCTGCCTGTCGACCTGAACTCTCTCTCTTCTGAACCTATAAATCATATCCAGATAAAGAGTTATGTTTCAAAAGCTGCTCATCATGTAAACCATAAATAATGGCTTGAATGTAGGACTAACTGCTCTTACCCCTTTCATTATTCTTCTGCGAAGTTCCCCCTGTGAGAGTGGCCGTTCTTCCTCATCAGTGACGGGAGAGTCTTCTGCATCATAATCCAAACTAGCGAGTCCGAACAGCACACAAACACCTCATTACCATGTTGGTTAAATAGTTTACTGTATGTATGGATTCAAGTTACAAACATGGCTATCAAAATGAACAGATAGAAGACCCACCTGTTGATCGCAGGTTGGATGCTAATTTTGTGCTGAAGCAGTTCAGGATTTTGACCCAAAAGAAATTTGGGCAGGTCTTTAGGATTGTAGTCCTTTTCCAGATCCTAAAAGTTACAAATACAAATAAATATTATTTTAAGAATACAGAAACAAAAGAATAACAGGAACATATGTAAGTAAAGAAAGGAGAGAAGCACGTGTTACTTTAGAGTTTTGGAAAGCTTGTATTGTGAGCAGCTCATTGGTCTTCTGCTCCACCAGACCCAGGTAGGACATGATGTTGTTCTCACTGATCCCTGCAGAGGAGCCGAGTTTATCCTCGATCACTGAGCGGTCACACTCTGTTTTAGAGAAGATGCTGTTCACTCCTGTGAGGGATGAGAGTCAGGAGTACAGTGAATTGGCTGCAGTGTTTTATTTTTTATGAAATCCCTTCTGTATTTGTAGATTTGCACGTTATTTATAAAAAAAGAATTCTTTCACTAGTCTATTATTGTTTGTCATTTTCTTGAAAATGTATTTTGATACAAAATCACAGCAAGACCTGTCTTTGTCTCATCCAGGATTTTGCTTATGATGCTGGCTCGGTTTTCGTAGTCCTCAGCTTGGTATTCAATTTCCTTTTGTTTCTCATCAAAGCCTCTCAGCAGAGAGCGATGATCTCGCTCCTTTTGCAAACTTGATTCTCCATACTGCTCGATCTCTGATTGTATCTGCGGATTGACATGTTACAGTGTTAACAAACCAGTGTATAGATAATTTATCCTTAATAGATACTAGCGTCTAACTCACTTTAACTTCTGTAAAAACACTTCTATCTAATGAACATAATGCAAATTGAACATAATCCCAATTCATGTGAACTCTTTCACATGAAATGTTTTATTACTGATTGTTTATGATCTTATTGACAGAAATCAATAGATACTACTCTCACTGAGTAGGAGTAAAAGCAAATGTGTAAAGTTACAATTGGAAGACTTTAATGTCCAGTGTGGAAAGTTAAATAGAGAAAACAAAATGACCTGACTGATTTGATCCCTCAGAGATTCAGCTTCATTGTTTTGCTCATTGACAAAATTGAAGAGTGCAAAGTTCCGGTCTTCGTCTACACAGAAAAACAGAAAAACACAAGTGATACACACTGATTTCTTCTTAACTGATTTTTCATTTTTTCAATCAATAACTAAAATTATTTATTATTTATTTCACATGCTTTAACAGACACTTGAGTAATGAATAAGAAAATATTTTTTTTGTGTGTAATGTTCATTTTGATGAGTATGAAATAATCACTTTGTGTTGGAAGTCTCACCCTGAATGAACCTGGTGACCAGCAGGTCCAGGTTGTCCTCGCCTGTCACAGTCTGGATCTTCTCAAAAACCTCCTCCAGAGTGTCCAGAGACTCTTCCCCTGAGTCCATCCTCCTCTGCTCCTTCAGCTCTGACACTGAGGCAAACAAGTACAATAACAATCATATCAGTATCATCTGAACCAGGGGTTTTCCTTCTTCATTCATCCCTCTTTAGTTTAACATACCTGAAAAACTGAGAGTTTTATACTGAAAAAAATATTTTTCACATTTGTCTATATTGCTATGAGTTTCCAAAACAAGATAGCAAACACGGTGATAATGATTTTTTGAATTCTATTTCAATGTTCAAGGACCCACTGACCGTACCATTACAATCTGATGGGTTTCTATGTTTAAAACCGAATATTTACATAGCTGGTGCAACAGGCCACAGAAGCAGAAAATAAAACAGAATCCCCAAAACCACTTCAATTTAAGTCCAGTAGTTATTTTATCAAAATCATTTAATAAAAGACCTTCACTTTTGTGCTACATGTACACCATAATGGGACACTTTTATGTAGCCTGTGCCAACGGGTTATATTGTAGGATATTCTTCCAAGCAATTAATAAGAATAATGGATTTTTATTTTTTATTTTTTGTTAGATTTAACAGATAATGTATTATCAACCAAGGTAGGGCCGGTAACAATTTTGCCATGATTGTGAAATGAAGTAGGCAACAACAGCAGTAAAAAAACAAAAAACAAAAACCTTGTCTGTGTCCCATCTCATGGCCGTCATCCTGTCCGCTCTTCTCGCTGCACTTAGTGGACATAAACTCTTTCAGGCTACACTCGTGTGCGATAACCCTTTCCAGTTCCTTCATCTCTGCATTGTACTGGGTAAGCTCCTTCTCTGCCTTCTCTTTCATCATGGTCATCTTAGACTGAGCCTCCACCCTGAAGTAGAGAGCTTTGTACTTAAGATACTCAACAACAAAGACCACAAGGTGAATATCACTCTTCACAACAGACAAAAATCTGACCTGGCATCATAAGCAGCAGTGGACATGGTGACAATTTCCCCGATCCTCTTGCGGATATCGTACAGTTCCTACAACAAAAAGCAAATGCACAGACAAGTAAAACCACTGTAAAACATTGCAAAAACAAAAAAGAGAGACATCTATAGCATAACTTCTGACCTTTTCCAGCCTCTTCTTTAGTTGCTGGAAACGGACACGCTCAATTTGAAGAGTCTGCAACTCCTCTCTCAGGTGGCTGTTGTTGCTTAGCTGCTCATTGAAGCGGGTTAAGGCCTGGACAGGATAGAAACAACACAAACTTTAGATGTAAAATCACAAAGTCCAACTTTTACATGGGTTAATTTCCAAATCCGTCTTTTCTGTGGTTTTTGTTGTAATGAATTTCAGCACTCACTCTGTCCAGTTTGTATTCCAAAGAGCGTATGGCCTTTTGTGACTGTTGAACCTCAGACCTCTGTGCATCACTAGTGTTGACCTTTTGTTTTCGCAGCTCTGCCATCTTTAACTCTATGTTTGCTATCTGCCCATATTACATTCACAAAACATGAAATTAACTGGTTTGTGTAACAAGAAATACAGGTAAACACAAGGATAAACTTGAATAAGTATCAAACAGAGGGGAAAGGACTTAACTCACCTCTTTATTTATATCTTTTTGACTTTGCTTTTCCCTCTCCAGCTCCTTGGCCAGCATGTCTTTTTGCTCCAGCAGAGCTCGTAGACTCTGGGTGTCATCACTGTCCTGTTGTTGGCGGGATGAGCTCTTACATGCATTAAGATTCCGATGCAACTCCTCACGCTCTTTCTGCAGCTTATTTATCTCCCGCCTTCATCCACACCACATAAAAAAAAGCCATTCAGGCAATTGAGAACACTAATGACTGTGTGATGCTGGTGTAGTGCGAACTCACTCTTGCTTGCGGATCTGCTCCCTGGCCTGTAGGTTGTACGCTTGCCGATCTCCTTCCATAATCTTGAACTGTCTCTGTAGTTTGGCCATCTCAGATTCTGCTTGGAAAATTGGCATTTAGACATTGTAGTTGTATAACACTTGAGACTGGCTAGATTACCTAGCACACATCAAGACCTTGTTGTTTATAATTGCATCAAAACCAACATAGACTGTACCATCAATATCCATTTCACTGGTGTCTGACCGTGCACTTGCAGCAGATCTTCCTTGAGGCATGGCTCCACTGGGCGTTAATGGACAAGAATAACAAGAAAATAGATGTTGTTTACAGATACAAACTGAGCTTGGATTAGCAGCATATCCTTGTCAACTCTTCTCACCAATATGTTTAATAAAGCCTTGATCTTTAGTCTTATATTTAGCTTTAAACCCTGAGAATAGTAAGAGATTGTTGTTTTTTTTTAATCGTTTTTTTAAGTGGTTGTTTATGTTAAGAAAAAACTACACATTTGTCTCCAAGGCCCAAATCATTTGCTTGATAATGACCTTCTAAAGTAATTCCTTTTCCTTTCCGGTTGTTTCAGTAAAAATGTCATCTTACAGAACAACATAGAAAACAACGTTCTCCCAATATTTTTTTCGTTGGAGAATCCACATTTAACTTTCATTCTGAAGGTTAATGTAGTTACGATAGTATTGATAATTGGAACAACTCACCAGCTTAAAGTTTAAAAAGTAAAGACAAAGTGAAACCTCTCTCACACAACTCGCCCACAGAAACATGGGTTGTTAGAAACCGTTGCTAGGTACTACTGGGCTCAATATCCCTGGGTGACGTCTCTCAGGCAGCAGACATGTTTCCGGGGATGCAAAGTTGTAATGTAGGGCTTGACCATTATTGGGGCATGTACCTACCGACCCTAACATTAGATATATCTTTTTTTAAACACTATAACTTGAGAAGAAGAGCCGCAAAACATAATAATCTCTTGGTTAGAGGTAATCCGGCTGACGCCAGGGGGCGAACCTGAGCAGCTGAAGAGGAATGGGGCCAGCCGACACAAAGGCCCTGGCTTCTCTGCAGAGCACGGTGAGTAGACTAGTGTATTTATTTGCGGTGGAAAGTTTTATTACATAATTATTGTATCTTTATTTGGAGTTCATTATTTCAGACAGTGTTGGAATGCTGTCAGTAGCATTTTTCTTTTAATGTAGGCCTAGGCCTGACTTTGAACTCATCATACACCACCATGCACACACATGTGTACAGAAGTAAAGTAAATCTTGTCAAACTAAGTGAGAACTTCAGATTTTAAATCCGAAAACATCCATACGTAGATAAAATGACCAGGCTAATATTTACAGTGTATGGTTAAAGCACGGCATTGCTTAATGTAAAAATATGTAAGATTAAAAATTAAACAGCGACACTATTTACCCCTTTTTTTTTATCATTGTTGCATAAATGTTAACAATAGCGACCTTAAAAACGTCCTCATTGTGAAAACTTTTGTAAAACCACACTTGTTGTTGTAGACAGATTGTTGTAGACTTTATTATAATGAAATATACAGCTGGTTGCATACTTTGTACATGGTTAATGTATACATCTCATGTTTTTATGATTAAATATTGATATCAAAGTATAGGTCAGTTCAACTACTTTAAATATAAATTACAGTAGCATCGTTTTGTTAGCCAAACTAAAAGTCTAAGCTAGGAGACTCATTAATAGCAAACATTTTTTATTCAAATCTTAAAAAAATAACAATTTAAAAAATCCATTTAACATCAGTGCTCTGGTTCTGGGTTTGGCTGTGGTTCTTCCTGAGCTGGTGGGACACCCTCTAGAAACGTACAGAAGTATTCTGCTATATTGAGCTCAGGTTTTTTCAGCAGCAAGTAACATTTTGGGAAGAAGTAGGCTGCCACCAGTCCAAAGTTGCTTGCCAGAGAGAAAGTCACATGCACAATAGACTTATTCTTGACTTCCAAGCCTATGTAGATCGGAATGAAGGTTACCCAAAACACACAGTAGAGCAGGGAGGAAAAGGTGATGTCTCTGGCCAGGTTATACTGATGAGGAGGCTTTGCTGCCATGAAGGTGCACATGAATGATGCAAGGCACATTGCACAGTTGAAACCTTGCATTAAGGCAAACCCACCCAAGGGTTCCACTGGACATGCCAGAAATGCTCTAACAAAGTCTATCTTCATACTTGCCCGATAGTTTGACAGAGAGGGCCCCGCCTGCACAAACCAGCCACAGATACAAGCCTGCACAGTACAGCAAGCCACCAAAAACAGCCAGCTTCCAGGACCCCTGAGTACATGCAGGTGAGAGGCAGCCATCTCTGGAAACTCTGATATGTAGACTATCTGTTTGAAAAGAGGGGTGATTACGACATGCTCGCTTTATTGTGCCTCATTCTTAAGCAATATCACATGACAGGAGTGCTTCTGTACTGAATATTAGCATGATCAGTATGCTCAGTATAGCAGCAGAACTACAAGTATGATGTTGCCTTTATACAACAGCTCTTCTAGCAGAACTTCAAGTTTATTGCACAACATAAAACATTGGAGCGAACCACATGGTGGCTTCCTCAGTATCGCTCATTACTTGATTGACTTTATTGAACTATTCATTGTTTTATCTACACATAACCACAGGCCAACTGCTTTGAATCTTGTAGATAAGGGAATGTTGTTTTGGTGGCCTGTGTGAGTTTCAGGTAGGCTTAGCAGCTTAATAGATCTTGAGAAATATTGTTGTCTGTAATGTTAATTCAAAACATAATTCAGATCACCTGAAGTTGAGTGGCACATTTAGTGAAAAGTCCCAGTGTGGTTGTACTCTGTTTAAGTGCCTCTGGCCAATCATATTTCTTGGTCCAAACTAAATCTCATATAAAGTCCAATAATGCTTTTCATTTCATTCCTCACCTGTAGTGAGATGAACAGGACAATGGAGAGGGCAACTGTTTGGAAAATGCAGGTGAGGGGCAGCTGAAGACGACACACCACATCATCCGGTTGCCCCAGGAAGAGCAGCAGGCAGAGGGAAGCTCCCATCAGGCTTAGCAGAGCTAGAAAAACCTGGCTTCCTCCTGAGGCTTTTACCATCAGGGTCCCCCGGTGTTTTAAGAACACTACTCCAACAGATCCATGACATACTAGCAGCAGAACAACACCAAGCATCATCGCCAGAGCCTCAGTGGAGTCCCAGGACAGAACGTCAAAGGTGGGTTCAGTGCAGTTAGTGCTGCGGATTAGAGACCACTGACCCTTTGGGCACTTAGTGCATTGGATGTCCTCTACACGTCAGAAGGCACAGGAGGAAATTTGGTTTAACAAGCACACAATCAAATCAAACCATTACTGTAAGTGATGCATTGTTTGTTTGCATTACTACTAACCTTCCCCATGAGGACTACCCAGCTAGAATAATTTATTGTATGAAACCACCATCATCAAAAATGATTTCCTCTCAAAAATTCAGTATATCATGTAATTTGGAAAAAAAATGCACTATTGTTTTGGTAGAGAAGTTAATTTGCATATTGCATAGATTAACATTTTGGGGAAAAAAGACTTGCATAGTGCCACCACTGTTCACCATGGTGAACATGTACTCATTAAATCCATGAAAAACATGGGCCAAATTGTTTGTTTTGACCTAATGCAGCCATATTTCTAAAATGCACTTATAAAGAGAAATACGTTTTGCTTTCTTGTAGAAATTAGTTTGAGAAGGAAAAGTACTTGTAAATATTATAATCAATTTAAGGCAAATGATGAAACGTGTTTGTGCGACCACATTACCCTCGTTTGCCTGGTAGGTGCCTGGTAGACAGTTGATGCAATCAAAACAGCAGGAATGGAAGCCTTTGACTCGGCGGACTTGTCCTTGTTCACATGCTGCTGAACAGGTGGACTCAGGAACCTGCAAAAGTTGTAGCATATCAGTTAAAGACCCACAATGCAAAATTTCAGTAAACCAAACTGGATTTTGACTAGTAGTAATGTAACAAAACATTTTCTTAAGAGTATATATTTGAAATATTTATCAAATTGCTAAATTTACCTTTGGAGTGTGCCATGTGAAAAGGGTCTTGTTGATTGTTAGGTTTTTGTAAAAACTTCCAACCGTCTGGAAAGCTAAAACAGAGTCATTCCAGACCCACTGGAGTACTTTGTAACCAATGTTTGGGTTGCCATTACTGTCAAACACCAAATCTTTGCCATTTATTTCTACAGATGTACTTTTTAAAACCTCCAATAGCTGCAAAAGAAAAACCATTATTTCATTTGTATTTTGTGATATACAGTATATCATTTTTATCTAAAAGAGTATGTTATGACATTTCTAGAAGAAGAAAATATGGATTAAAAAAATTACCTTCCATGGATAAATCTTTGTTTCTAACCCCTTTTTACAGGCAGTTGCATTGCATCCCATCAGGTTGTGCAGTGCCTGTGCTGCACTGTAGACGGCAGCATACACACCGAAAGCTGAGCGCTTCACTACAGGATCCTCCACCAGGCTGATGTTAACAGGTGACATGCTCCAGCACTTTGGGCAGGGATTATCAGGATTGCCAGACTTTGGTGGGGGTGTTGGAGGTGGGGTCCTCGCCCTCTCCTCACTCAGTTTGGTGAACAGCTCCTGCGTGTAGGGGGTCAGCAGATCCAGGGTTTGACTGTCGTCAGCGAATCCAATGATTGTGCCAACTGATTGAATATTTGGGAGAGAAGTCAGCAGATAATGGATCGCCCAACTTGTGCTGGCGATCCACACGCGTGTCACGTTCCTCCTCATCACCTGTTGTAGATTTCATCAGATTATTGGTCCTGAATACATTATTTTCTATCAAATCTATTACACCATAATTCTCTGCTTCACTTACCTCTTTAAAAAAGATCAAAGCCTGCTCTGGGAGTGCAAACAGTACCACGACTCTGACATTGGTTGCTATTATGTTGTCGATGATGGTTTTCACCATCGCTTCGGGGTCACTGTACACAGGAATCAAGCCCTGATAGGCCACACACACAGACTTGTTTGCTGCTGTTTTGGAGAATTCTTGTACACCTCCCTGTCCGTACGCTTCCTCAGTGCCCACAATGGCCACCCAGTTCCACTTAAACTCATTTAGCAAGAGCACAATGACCTCCACCTGCAATTTGTCACTGGGCACTGTGCGGAAGAAGGACGGGTAGAGGAGCTTGTTGCTTAATTTGTCGCTTGTGGCACCAAAGCTAATCTGTAGGGGAAAAAGTCATATAATACCAGCATTAGTTTTGTGAGCCAGCCCTGACCATTATGGACAAAGAAGTCCAATGTGTCTTTACTGAAGTTGTGGGTTCATTTGAAATGCGAGAGGGTGGCTGCTTTCTATGTTATTATCACACTGTAAAATATAAATACGCTAAAACAATTCATGGGGGATAAAAGTTTAGATTTTTTTTTTTGTCATACAGCTAATTTAAAAATGAAAGCCAGGAGTCATCTCCTTGTGGGACACTGTTTGATTTAGGGGGAAATTAATTAAGCCTAGAAATGTATGATCAGAAACATTCATTAACCAAACCTGTGGCATCAGAAAGAATCCCAGCAGCTTTCCTATGGTAGACGCCATCTCCGAGCTATAAGGACCTATCACGGCTGATATGCTGGTCTCATAGTCGGTGTAATTGCACTGGACAGAAAGTGCGTTGGTAGACTTTTCAGTGAGAAAAGATATGGTCGGCCTCATCGCGACGGCTGCTTGTCTACATGTGTCGTAGATTTTAAACCCCAACTTGAAGCCAGGGAGCAGAATTTGATGTGCGTTGATCTCATCTACTGCAAATTTCATGACTAGAGCCAGGCCCAGTCCAAAATTATTTACACTGTGGACAAGCAGGACAAATAGAAAATGAGCCATTAAAGTCAGGTTATGCATTCATTTTGGTGCAGAATCTTAGATTATACCGCCACTTAGTAAAAACAAAATCACTATTTTGTATTACCTTTCACAACTGATGTTGTCAGGCTCCCGCCTCTGGCTCAGGTTGCTGGTGATATCGTTGATTGGGAAAAGCCCTCCGAGCATGATGTCCCCCGACAAATCAAAGAGGTTGGTAGATATGTTGTTGAACCATTCAGGAGATGCCACACTGTAACTCAGGCTGCATGTCAAGCACAAAAACAGCAGAGCGAAAAGTGCAGCCATGATGCTGAAAAGCTGCAGATGTAGACTAGAGTGAAAAGAACAGTGTTCATATGTGTGGGTACAACAGGAGAAATTGTTGCATGCAAAATCACCTTAAGTGAGTCGGTGCAGTTGGCCCCTCCTCTCCTCTAAAGTATCTGCAAATCACATCAAATTGGCCTTTAAATGGTCACCTACATTTACATTTGTGGTATAACAAAATAAAAGCTGTCATATGTAACATGAAGAGGAAAAAACTCACTTTGCACCTTGTGTGTGTTTGTGTGTGAGTTTGTGTGCTTTTTTGCATGTGTGTGTCAGTTTTTTGCAGGTTGGGTTCATCCTTCCGGTGAATTTTCCTGACATTTGCTTGTGGTTTGCTCTTTGTTTCTCTACGGTGTAAGTTTCTGTGAGGACATGAGCACATATGCAGAGTAAATGCTTAAAACATAAAGCATAAAACTGATATATTAATCAATTGGCAAAGCCCGTTTTCCTGTGGGGGGGCTTATCATTTCATCAAAGTTTAAATGACTCTAAATGTACTTCAACCTGTGTGCTTGTTTAAAAACAATGGTAAGTAGTATAGATTGAGATACTGCTAATATTAATAATACATTACATATACTGTGTAGATTTTCTTCTTTAACTAAATGTTTTCTTTTTGTTGTTGTAAGGTTTTTCTTTCACCTCTGAATTAGTTTGCATGTACATTTGCATGCAAAACCAACCCTGGCTGTTTGTCATCCACACAAGCTAATTGACATATTTCCTCCCAATAGATTTGCAAAACCCAATGTAAACATATGCACTTTTTAATCTTGTGTAATGTTACGAGAAAAATAGACAATCATTCATATAGAAGTATGTTATGTATGTTTATATCACAACTTCCCTCGCTACATGCTACTTAATTTTCAAAGCTCTTGGTCACTGGCTTAATGTTTTGATATCTCCAAACCACACAAATAACAACAAAAACAAATTATAAAAGTATGGCTAAGATGACAAAATCAATTGTTTAACTAAATGTATTATTTAATATAAGCAGGAACAGCAAACTAATGATCACCCACTGACAATTGTCATGTGTTATGTTGTACTGTCAGTATGAATGTCTTGGATGTGTTTTTATGTCATCTAAATCTTGGAATGAAGATATGGAGACCCCAGGAAGAGTAGCTAGTGTTAAACACAGATGATAAAGGGTATCTTAAAGGGATAAAGGGTATCTTAAAGGGGCGGCAGTAGCTCAGTCTGTAGGGACCTGGGTTGGGAACCGGCTCAAGTCCCGGTGCGGACCAAGTATGGAAGTTGGTCTGGTAGCTGGAGAGGGGCCAGATCACCTCCTGAGCACTGCCGAAGTGCCCTTGAGCAAGGCACCAAACCCCCTCCCCACCACCAGCTCAGGAGTGCCCACTGTGGGCTGCTCTGTCACTCTGACATCTCTCCCTTAGTGCATGTCCATAGGATCCTGTTTGTGTGCATCTGTGTATATACTTCAGCCTATGTGTGTGTTGCATGACTACAGAGTGTAAAAACTGAAATTTCCCCTTGCAGGGATCAATAAAAAGTAAGTAAGTAAGTAATCTTAATAAACAAACAGACACTAATAGTTACAATAGACACATCTAGTAGCATTGCCATGTAATATTGTGGGGAGGCTTGATAATGTGACTCATCAAACTACATTTGTTTTAAGTAGTCCCTCACCTTTAAACAGAAAATGAAATTTTAGCTGACACCACCTGAAGCATCACAAACACCATAGTTATTTGATAACTTATACTTTGATTAAGATCTGAACATTTAACAATAATAATTCTCAGAATATTTTCATTTCAGTGAGATTTTAATAGGGAGGGACAAATTGTTCACAGGCTTGAGGATGTACTGTGACTTAGAGATGTCACACAACCATCCAGGTGAGTTGCAGCATAGATTTACTGCCGGAACAACAGGCAAATTATAAAGGGAAACAAAAGGGAAACCTATTTATACAAAGAAGAGTTGGGCTTTATCTCCTTGAAGTCTGCACACAACAGAGTCAATGGATTTCCCCACATGGGCGTTAACACAGTCTTCTACTTTGATTAAAAAGTCAAGAATTAATTACTCAAGCTGGCATAGAAAGTGCAATGCAATTAGTGTGCACACCTGAAAACCACTTAAGAAACCTTCACTGCACTACTGCAGGTCCTTCTTATACATTTAAAAAAAAACTTCTTTGTACTTGCATTAACTTGCACTTTATGTAGGCTACTTTCAAGTACTTATCTTTTTTGGCACACTAGTCCAATTTGAGAATCAGGTTCAGTAAGGGATTGTTCAGGGACATAAAGGACGTATTCTGTCGCTTATCTTGTTAGTCATCTTGACGTAAGAAGCCTGGTGATGAAATTCAATGTTTGTCTTTAGCACAGCCTGTCTGCTCATAACACTTACAGTTTGTTCTTCTAACACAAATGCATTGCATGCAAGGGTTTATCCTCTTTGTGAAGAGTTAGGATAGTTTTATTTGCAGAGAGATTTAAAATTACTTACATGTTTGTGACTGTCTTGTTTGTTGGCTCATTGTGTCTGTTCTCAGATGCAGACAGTGGATCCAGATAAACATCTTGTTTATGTTTGTTTCTTCCTCAAGCATGAATTATAACCTTGAATCATACGCCTTGTTTTGTGGTGCAGCTGCAGAAAGATGTCACTAATCATCTGCAGCAACACTACACACACACACACACACACACACACACACACACACACACACACACACACACACACACACACACACACATTTCTGTTATTTCCAGGTAGCCTACAAAAAAATGTTTTTTAGCGTCTTGACACAAGCTTAACTGGCTCATAGAGAAAGAAACTCTACGTTAGTCATGAAAGTATATCCTCCCTCTGGGTTGTTCAGAATGCAGTCATGATCATTTAGACTTAGTGTGTTCTCTGAGACGAATTTCATGTTAGATGAAAGAGAAGCTTAAATCATTTAATGCACATAGATTTGGTCTCGTTGTCTGGGTTTTGTAATATTGGATCTATCTGACCTGGCTTCAATCACAATGCAAAAGCAGGGAATGTTGTGGTCCATCAGCATTAAAGATAACACTTTTGTTTCCTAAACAACGTCCCTTTTCTTCTTTATTCTCACCACTTTGAGTGAAAAGTAAATAATTATTTTAAAATTGAAAAATATTTAAATTTTTATTCTACATATTGTTTTCTTCTTTGTCAAATCCTGGCGTCTAACCTCAGTTCACCTCGACCGCAAACTGTTTGCTCAGAGATGCAGGTGTGTTATGCCAGTTATGGAGTAAGTTACAGAGGTCTGGTAAGCGTCTTCGACCCCAAACTAATGCTGGCTTAAAGGACATTAAATGACGTGATTTAATTTGACAGACGTCACGCAGCCTCTGGGGCAACAAAAGGCTTTAAAAAACGTTTCCTCCCCACCACATATTCAGTAATAGGCATTCATGTTTTTCAGAGTCCATGGAGATGCTTTCAAATGTGCTGATAATTAAATTCATTATCAGTTATTGATATTTAGCTACCTTTCTCAATGTATTACATTGCAGCTACTATTTAGGCCTGGATGTCTTACCGGTGGACACAAGTTAGAGAAAATGTTTCCGATAGTTTGTTTAAACTCACCCTAGTCCACATTTCATACTGTACATGTAGTTCGCGCTCTCTGTGCATCTAAAGTGCACAGATTATTTTAAAGGCATTCAATTTAGCATACTGATTTAGAAAGCCCAACAATTTCTGAGCGTCAATTACAAGGCTCAGCCACTAGATGTCAGATTTGTGTGTTACTTCTCCAGGATCCACAGATCCTTCGGGGCTTGTAGGGTTCAAATCCTTCTTACTTGTACATAGAGAGAGAGAGAATATTTATGTCACAAGGAGCTGCAGGCCTGACGCGAGAAAACTCAGAACAACACATATTGTGTCGCTGGTGATGGAGTGTAGGTGGAGCTTCATGCAACTGTGCGGGCAGCAGGTACATGCAGCAAAGAGATATTGGAGCAACTGATAACAGAAGGGAGTCAACCTGCGTACATACTGAAATCATTTTCTTTTTCTAATGTTTTGTTTCTCTTTGAATTTGAAGAAACATGTTGTTTCCTGTAGTCCTGATGCCAATTTTCCTGCGTCTGTCAGTAGATTTCCATGGGTTAGCCTTATGACCTGCACAAGAGGGAACACTGTTGCACAACACCTCTCGGATTGAGAAAACATGGTGCTTTTTTGCAATCATCGATATGCGCTTGTTGGCAAAATGATATCCCACAAGTGTCTCTTCGGCCACAGACGTCCATGCCTGTTGCAAAACACAGCGTGAGCTACATTCCCTTCCTAAGAGAGACCCAGGAATACCACCCTTCCTTTCTGCCCTCCCCCTCTCCTCCCCTCCCCCGAAGAGTGGCCGGATCAGCCGTGCTTTCTAATCTCCATCTCTGGCCTTCGAAACACTGGGCCTGTTGTTGACATGTTGGCCTCATACCCCACAGGGGCTGACAAATTATTAGCCAGCCTCTGTGTGCAGAGTGAGGACAGCCAGTTTAGCCAGGCAGCAGAACACTAAAACTGTGCTGCCCTGAGATATGAAACTATCAGTCCTCATCAGCTCTGTGGCAATGATGCTGAGGGATTTAATGTGGGAAGAGATCCTGTTGCATGACGGCAGCGGGGGCGTCTGGTCAAGGTTGACCCATCTGTAGTGGTGCAACACAGCTCAGTTTACACATGCTGAAAAGCTTGTATGCGAGTGTAATCACAGCCTGAACATGTGTGCTACAGAGGTGTTTTTACCTCACCCTCAAGGGTTAAATAATGGAACCATCCTCCCCCACTTCCAGCAGTAAAACTTGTTCTTCTTCGTGTCTTCAACCCTTGTGTGTGTGTGTGTGTGTGTGTGTGTGTGTGTGTGTGTGTGTGTGTGTGTGTGTGTGTGTGTGTGTGTGTGTGTGTGTGTGTGTGTGTGTGTGGCTAACAAGTGTGTTGCAACTTGTATTTGTGCATACATTCACATGTGCAGTGCTATATAAACAATGGATGACATTTTTGTGCATTGTTTTATTGTCTGAAGACTTTTCAGGCCAATGCTTTGTTTCCCATCTTTGATTTCAAACGTCTTTGT